AGGAATATTGGAAAAAAGGTATTTTAACCATTTCACTCCTTGCCCAGGAGTGACCAAAAAGGAATTTATCCTTACAATATTTGAAAAAAGATGATGAAAAGGTGATGAACAAATGAAAAGTTGATGAGAATAAAGGAATGAAACATGAATTTGGGAATATTGCTTGTTTTGGCACCAAATCATTGGAGCCAAAATTATGAGAAATATATGAAGTACAGTGAAGAGAATGGATCTTTTCATCTTGGGAGTGAAATGGTTATCTGTTTACACCCTAACATTAGTATGCATATTCTCTACATTTTTCTCTATACATTTCCTATGGTACTGGCAAGGAGAATTTGTTTGACCATCAAGAGCTTCTTAAATTGCAGATAATTTCATTATTCACATGAACTTTACATTTTATTCAAGAAGGATACTGTATGCAGAAATTAGAAACCAGTTACTCTTAAGAGGTTAAGGGTCAAAGAGAACCACAGATACTTATAGCTGATAATTAACTGATAGTGTGTGGGAACTTAAATTAGTTCAAAGACACTAAATGCATCAAAAAAACAAAAGACAAAATTTTTTTTAACTCTAAAGATGCAACTTTTAACTCCCTTCTTTAGTGCTACACTTTCCCTCGAAAATTAGTTATGGGAATTTTGTTAGATCAAGATAGCATTTTCTACAGTACCTGATATGTTTGAGTATTCTGAAAACCTGTGTGTTGGCTTGATTTATGGATATTTAAGGGAGAAGTTGGCCATGTTAATCAATTCTGGAAGTTAAAAAATTAATTTCTAAAGAACCTTTTTGATTTGACTCTACGCTATTCACATGATACTTTGCGACCTTTGAGGCTCAGGTCAGTCAAAACACGGATCTTGACTTGTGGGGTCTTGGGGAATCTTCCAGCTGTAGTTGTAAGGAGTTGTAGCTCTTAACGACAGCCTTGCATTTATACAACCACCTTTTTAATTAAATATTTCACTTATGCCATAGTGAAAATTTGTTGAAAATGTGCAGTGTAGATGTCATGTCTTTGATAATAGTTATTGTTGTAACAATGATAATAGTTATTGTTGTAACAATGATAATAGTTATTGTTGTAACAATGATAATAGTTATTGTTGTAACAATGATAATAGTTATTGTTGTAACAATGATAATAGTTATTGTTGTAACAATGATAATAGTTGTAACAATGGTATAGGTAATGATAACGATCCTAAGGAGAATAAGAGTGGTACTGTGATTGAATAGAGAATACTACATGGGCGTGCGTTGATGTGGAATTTCTCTTCAAGTATTCAACTCGATATCTTCCGAGTGAACGCAGTGAAAGAGTGAGATATCTCGTTGAACAAAAGAAAAGAAGAGAAATTCTATATCTACAAGCAACCATGTATTATTTTGTTTATGAAATAAATTATATAGGCCTTTACTGACAAGAATAGGATACTTTGCGGATGAGTGACGCGTGGCGAACACTTCGCCGTGTATTCTTCAACCTAAAAGAGTCATTGACGGGAAAGAGAGTGATGTGTTAGCAGCTGATTGGTGATATCAAAGACACGTAGAAAGTTATCGTAATTTTACACGTGTGCAGTTACAGCTTTTCTCAGGGATGGAAATCCTTGTAAAACACCGCAGTTTATTACGTATTATGAAGGTTGTTAAATTGTTCCCTTGGGCTCTCCAAGAAGTAATGCCCGAAAGAGAAAAAAGAGTCCCCCAATGTGATGGTATCATGCCTCGATTTCTCTCTTTCAATAATCTTGCGAGACTCGTTTGAAATTTGTTTTGTGATTGTGTTACAGACAAGAAGCCATGTCGAGATGTCTCTTAACCACAGTGAAGACAATGAAAAGTCGGCCCGTTTTACAAGAAAGACCAGAGGTGAAAGGAAGTTTGATTGCTCCCATTGTGATAAAAGTTTTACCAGAGCGGAAATCCTCCGTCAGCACGTAAGAATACACACGGGCGTAAAGCCTTTTAAGTGCAGCCATTGCGACAAGTGTTTCAGACATGCAGGAACCCTTATCCAGCATAAAAGACTGCATACTGGAGAAAAACCGTATAAGTGCAAGCATTGTGAAATGCGTTTTAGGCAGTCAGAACAACTATCTCGACATGTCAGAGTTCATACTGGAGAGAAGCCTTTCAAATGCAGCCATTGTGACAAGTGTTTTAGTCAGCCTTCAAACCTTCGCCTACATAACAGGGTGCACACGGGCGAAAAACCCTTTAAATGCAAGGTGTGTGACAAATGTTTCAATCATTCAGGAATCCTTCGTACTCATAGTAGGACACATACCGGAGAAAAACCCTTTAAATGCAATGTTTGTGACCAGCGGTTTTCTACTCTTGGGAACCGAAACCAGCACAACAGGATACACACAGGAGAGAAGCCTTTTGAATGTAAGCAGTGTGATAGGTGTTTCAATGATGCTGCAACTCTTCGTCGACATAAAACAGTGCACACTGGAGAAAAGCCTTTTAAGTGTAAGGTTTGTGACAGATGTTTTAACCGATCAGTAAACCTTAATCGACATGTCCAAACACACACGGGGGAAAAGCCTTTTAAGTGCAGCCAGTGTGACAAATGTTTCACACGTGCAGCAGATCTTCGCCGCCATGGCACAGTGCATTCGGGCGAGAAACCTTTCAAGTGCAACCATTGCGACAAGTGTTTTACACAAGGAGGACAACTTCGTCTACATCTCAGATTACACACGGGAGAGAATCTTTTTAAGTGTCACCATTGTGGCAAGTGTTTCACTAACTCGAGTCACCTTCGCCTACATGCCAGTGTACATACGGGCGAGAAGCCTTTTAAGTGTGACCAATGTGAAAAATGCTTCAGTCGAGCTTCGGACCTTCGCCGTCACAGCGCAGTACATGCCACAGAAAAACCCCACAAGTGCACTGAGTGCGGCAAGTGTTTTAAAGAAAATGGAACACTTCGCCAACATGTCAAAAGACATACACGGGAAAAGCCGTTTCATTGCGAGCAGTGTGGGGAGTCCTTTTCCCGGGAAGGTCACTTTCAGCAACATGTTAAAGAACACTGGGGAGAAAAGCCTTATAAGTGCTCACATTGTGTCAAGTATTTCAGCCAAGGATCAGATCTTCGCCGACATGTTGCCACCGTTCACGCGGATGTAGAAGAGCGCAATGCTGCAACTCCTCGCCAGAATAAAACCGTGCACAATGGAGCAAAGCCGCCTTTTAAGTGTGAGATCTGTGACAAATGTTTCACCCGATCAGTAAACCTTAATCGACATGTCCAAACACACACAGGAGAAAAGCCTTTTAAATGCAACCAGTGTGAAAAATGTTTCGCTCGTGCTGCAGATCTTCGCCGCCATGGCACTGTGCATTCGGGTGAGAAACCTTTCAAGTGCAAATATTGTGACAAGTGTTACACCCAAGGGGGACAGCTTCGTCAACATATCAGATTACACACAAGAGAGAATCTTCTCAAGTGCCAGCATTGCGACAAGGTTTACACCAACTCAAGTCAACTTCGCCTACATGCTAGAGTGCACGTCGAGAATGAGCCTTTAAATTGCATAGCTCACACAGAAGAAGTGGACGAAAACATGCAAAACCAAGAAACACAAGATGACACTATGTGTGCCGAGGTGGTGGTCGCCCTGGATATCATGTAGCTTACTTACCTTGTTTGGGACAGACGTTGTTATCGGTGTAAACTGTTGGACTTTTCAAACGGTACGTATGACGGCCATTTAAAAGACGTGTACCTATGTTCTATTTTTTTGCGCTGTGTAGTTAATATCAGGAACTTTAACCCTAGAAATTTAAAGTGAACAAGTAGTTTAGAACAATTTTTGATCAAGTTGCAAATGTACCTTGAAAGTGCTTTGCTTCTGTTGTATTTGGTTCCGAAAATTCGCGTAACCCCTGAGACCAGTCAGATGCAAGAAAGCTGTTAACACCTTGTGACGTCATGATCTTAGCATCCACTTACCTTTTTTTCGGTTCTATTAGGCTGTTGTTATTATTTTTTCGTGGTTTTATGTCATTCGATTGAAATAAGCTGTACACGTTTGCACGGTTAAGTTTTATTTTAACTCGTTCTGATTTTTTGAATTGGTGAAATTTATAGTGAATCACTGAAAAAGATTTCTTCGCAAATTTCAGTTTAACATGAACTCGTGTGTAGAGCTCCGTGACTGTTATAAGTATTGGACACAAGTGGCCAATTTAAAGGACACATTTTGTAAGTGATTGATATTTTTCCTGTTTCATGTTATTAAAATTGATATTTTGAGCTCTTCTGTTTTCCCATTTTAGAGTTTTTATCGTTTTGGGGAACTCGAGGATACATGACAGTTTTTTTAAGTCGACCAGAGTGTGTCAAAATTTTACATTCGAACGTCGTGAAACATTCCGTGGTACCGTGGCAACGATCAAGAAGTAATTTTCTGCATTCCCTCAGATTATCTCTTCGCAGTCGAACAATTTTTACACGTCAATTGACTAAATGATGGAAGTCTGAAATGGTGGGCTTGCCATGGCAGTTGCAATGAATAGACCGAAGTAATGGGAAAACCGTTAAACAGTTTTTAGAGACGGTGTCCTAAAAATCTTCGATTGCCTTTTGCTCAATTTAGGATTAGGCAGTTTGGGGCAAGGCCTCAATGAGAGATGAATCTCAATTTAAATACAGCTGTTCCAAAGTTATGATGCTGCCAAGTGTAGAGTTGATTCGTTGGCTGTGATGCGAAACTATCTAAAAAAAAGAGCTCTGAGTTAAAAGTCTTAAAAATATTTTACATTTGTATCACATTGGACAACTTTTCAAAATATATATATTTTTTAATAAACAACTTTATTGGAAACAGAAATAACATGGAATAAAAAAAAAACATGTAAACACTAATTTACAACAGTCAATAAAAAAATAGCAAAGTAACAAAATGTATTTCATAACCATTACACGTAGTTCACACACAAAAAAAGAAGAAAAGCATGAATCAGAGTAAAAGCTTGTCAGTTGCCACATGTAAGTTAATAAGATTTGCCACCATTTTCAATATGGTGCTGTTCAAATAACTTTCTTACGAATTAATCTAAATTTGGTTTCTTGTAATGCCCTTGCAGGTGCACAAATATTTCTTTTGCGATAAAAACAGAAGACGTGGTCTACTTTTAAGAGGATTTGATGATTCCAATGGAGAGGAGTCTTCAAACGTATTGAGTACAATTTGTCTATTTGAGAGTTTTATCTTAGTCTTGTGAAAATCATTAAACCATCCTAATGTTTATGTAAAGAAATCAGTTGATTCTTGACAATGTAAGTGTGTTCAATTGAGCCTGGATTAAGACATAGAGGGCACTTGTCATCAGAGGCCAATTTATATTTCATCAGTTCTTTCTTGGTAGGAATTATTCTGTGCGTAACTTTAAAAGAGAATTCTCTGCGTTTATTATCTTTCGAAGACTTATATATATATCCACAAAACAGTTGCTCCAATTAGGAAGTTCTGTAAAATGTTTCTTCCAAGACCTAATTGCAGAGGGTTCAGTATCAAGTCATTCAATAAACATTTTATAATAATTTTTACAGCGAAATGTAGTTAAAAATATTGTACTATCTTCAAACTGAAAGTATTCTGACGGTTCACTGAGTAGATCAGGGACAGGAGAATTAAGAGCCTTTCTTTTCAGATCTAAAGAATGGCAGCAATTGATTGAAAATAATGCAAATAATTGACCTTAATTTCGAATTTATTTTGAAATTCTTCAAGCGTCAGAAATTTTTCCATTGAAATTTAATAAATCGCGAATAAAAAGAATGCACGCGATTACACCGAACGTTTCAAAATGATCTAATACGCCATTCACTCAAAAGCCGTCTCGTTAAACACAATTTCAAATATTTCATTCTTCAAAGAAGTTGATTAAATCGATCTTTGAGTACTTAAAATCTAGCACCATGAAAATGAAAGTTAGTGACCATTAATAAACATGTCTTAAGGCATGTGATACAGTGTTAAGTCTGGAAACAGCTCTTCGCATTGATCAGGAGGTGCAGCTTAGCTAATTAAGTATACTAAAGTAACTTTTTCATATTATTTCTCGGACGCAAAGTTAGGTCCGAGTACCTCGGAAAGAGCTGTACAAAAATTTTCCAAATGTTCTTTTCATAAATGCAATATATCAAAAACAGTTTAAATATAATTTTTCACAACAGCAAGGTTATATGCTTGTAGATTGGACGGAGAGACCAAGGAATGCATCCCTCTTAAATCGTTCGGGGTATGAACTTAAAAGTCAATTTATTTTCCCCTTTGTTTTATCAACAATTTTATTCGAAATTAAGCGCTTCTGCTGTAATTAGCTGCGCGATTTGGTAAATCAACAAGATACCCTTGAATCAGCTTTCGAGAAGTGTCGAGTTTTCCCTTTTCCTAATTCTGTTTCTTTTCAGAGATTTCTATGAACGTTTCAATTTTCCGTCATTTTATTTTGCGCGATGGTGGCTGTTTCTTATGTTTTCCAGTGAACTTTTGGGCAGGAAATTGGCGCGCGGCCAGCTACAATCGATACCCTCGCGCACGCCCGACGTTTGACCGCAGTGTTACATCAGGCTACCATTCCAGATTCATGTCCGCCTTACTCCACGTGTATTTTCCTCCTCGTCTGAAGAACATCTGTTCATCAAATCCACTTGCATTTATGGCGTCTTCAACTCCCACATCTAGCAGAGATTTGGATGGAGTTTTTGCGCCAGATCTACAGTCCAGGAAACGCATCTAAGTGAAGAATAGGACCAGAGGTTAAAAATTCCTCCTTCAATTCTGCGTCGAAGACGTATCTCTCTCTCGCAATATGTGGCTAATTAATTCACCCAGAATTCTTTTCGAATTATTTCTTTGTATAATTTCCAAGAATCAGAACAGTTCTTAACCCTTTCGCTCCCTGAAGATCTGAAGATCTCTTTTTCTTTATCCTTTGACCACGAAGAATGACGAGCTTCTAATTTCTCCTAAAATTTCACCCCTGATTCAAACATTAAAGTAACGAAAATACAGGATATGATCCTTAAGTTAAGAAGCTCTAGGTTTTAAAATAAATTCTCCTTGTCAGCACCTTAGGTAACGTATAAAGAACAGTATGGAGAATATGTAGACTGAGATTAGGGTGTAAAGGTTTAACGATCGTTTTTGAAAATACTTACAAACTCGTCTAGAATGAGATACGAATTCTGCATCTATAAAAATAAAAACGGATGAAGAAAAGTTAGCAAAGATTGCTTTAAGTTGGTTCTTCTAAAGGCAGAGCAGTTCTTTTGTTTACCCTTTGTTAAGAGAAGATATCATGAGGATGTTTGTTCAACTGCGAGAGTGACTGGCCTCTAATTTCTCCTTACAGTATCAGCCTTCAGTCAAATGCAAAGGTCATGAGAATAAAGGAAATGATCAGTAGTTTAAGAAGCTCGTGATTGTCAAACAAATTCTCCTCGTCAGTTCCATAGGAAAGTAAAGAGAATAATGTGGAGAACATGGACACCAATGTTGAGGTGTAAACTGAAAGTTGAAGGGGCAACTGCTCACTTCTACAGATATAACAAGGAAAGCCATCGTGGAACTTTCTTTATCAAAAATTATAAGAAAAATAATAAGGGTTTAATAATGAAGGTGAGTAGCTTTGTACAAAACATTGTTAGGAATGCTAAAAGAGAAATCACTCGATTCGTTTACCTTTTCATTTGATTCAGGAACAAGACAACTTAACTTGGAGTGTCTTTCAACAAAATGATTGAATTCATCATCAGAAATTACAAACTTTTGTGCTTGTCGCAACGCATCTGTACCACAGTTTTCTCCCTCGATGAGCAGACACTGGAAAACCTGAGTAGCGGAAATAAATTCAGTTGGTTTTTTTTGGTGGAACAATTATTATAAATCAGTTCTCAGATGGCTGACAATCTTTCATGAAACTACCTTTTTTACAATGTTTTCCACGGCTTTAGTTAAGTAGTGTAATGTTTTTACAGTAATCAATTGTTTAGTGTCATTCTTAGGTTACCAAAAAGTTGTGTCATCATTAATTCTAAACCACATTCGCTATCGTCATCATCATTATTTTCAAGGAATGTATAACTGTATATACTTCATAACAGTTATGTGAATTTATAAAGAAGTTAATTCATCGTCGGTTAGAGATAACCGGATCGAATAGTAGAGTTCTCTAAGTTGAAGACCCAATGCAATGGCAAATTTACTATTGCTCATTAAATTGACAGTTCCTGTGATGTAAGAAGTGCGAGGATACGCTTTCTGAATTCTCTGAAACAAAAATTATACCATTTCTCGACTATTCGCCTCAAGCGAAGTGCATATCGTTGAATAATCCCCTCCATATCATATCTGAGATTATTCACTTGAGCAATCAGTTAAATCAAAAGAATTGTTCTCATTGTGCTCAAGGAATATTATAACATGAAATCCAATTCGCCTTTGGCGAATAATTGTCAACTGGTTTTAGGCAAGAGGTCTAAATAGTGTATATTTCGAATACCCCACCAACACTCAAAATGGTTTTGGATTTTTCTTTCTTTCAACTGATCACCAGTTAACTGCTAACCAAAGAGAGCCAGAAAGAAAATTACAGACTAAGACTCCCTTCTCGTCTATCTGTGCGTCTTATTATGGTGTAATCTGAAGGACTTGGGCAGTGTTTTAACAGCAACTGGCTCCGTCTCTCCGAGCCTACCTCCCTACTACGCCCGATCATTTTCTTCTCCTTTTCAATCTTATTCAGGTTTGTTTGGCTGTGGCCTGAGATCGTTCATATTTGCCAGAGATTGAGTCGTAGGTTATTGCATGACTCGGTTACTTCATTAGATATGGATTTCATTAGAGCGAAATATATCACTTCCATTCTTAATCAATTTCCTAAATTTTACGAAAAATCCCATGATCTCCAAGTTTTTTTTTACTGGTTTCTTCTGTCCCCTCATTCTACGTAAGTAATGATCAGTGCTTGAATTGCTTTAAAAATGTAATAAATAGAAGTACGGTGAAAAGCTAACCTACTCGAGCTTTGCTCTGAGGCTTGACTGGTAAACAGTGGAACCAAGCGGTACCGTATTAAGCGGTCAGTCGTCAAAGTTTCGAAATTCTTCCCCTTAATCATTGTAATTTTATCCTCTACTAAGAGGTCACCTCTATTTGTTACCCTTTCTTTTACAATACCCTTATTCTGTGGAACTTATGTTGAGCGGTCACCCCACCATTCCCCGTGGTTGACCGCTTAATGCAGGTTCCACTGTATGATGTTACACATCCAAATAGGGTAATAGGAATAACGCCCTAAATAAATTACGCGAAATCATTACTGATCCAAACCTTCCAACGAATTGGGGCGAGTTCCTCGATGCGCTCGGTCATATCCTCGTCAACGTTAAACGTGTTAACCACCGTGTTGATCTTGAAAGCCACGTGGTACTGTTTGCACCAATCACGTATATTCTGTAAACACTTCAGGTTTCCCTTCCCAGACTGATGACGTCCAATCTGACGATTTTTCTCCTCGTCAAAACTGTCACACGACACAGCCATTATATCCAGAAATTCTCCTGCAAACGTTGCATAATGACAAATAGAAAAATTTTACTTAGATCAATAAATAGAGAAAATATGTGGACAAGCGTAGATATGGAATTTTCCCTCAAGTATTCAGCTCGATATTTTTACAAACTGATGAGCGCCGCGGACGGGTGCGATATCGAGTATCATGTATCATGTACCATATATCATTTTGTTAATTGTATAACCGCCATAGACCTGAACACTTTGCCATTCATCCATCAACAAGAGAGAGTGGTGTGAAAGGCGAGTGACGAGTCAGCAGCAGGTTTTAGAAATCATTTTCACGTACAAATTACCGTAATTTTACATGAATGCAGTTGCGGCTTTCTCAGGGCTGGAAATCCTCATAAAACACCGCAGTGTATTGATAAAAGGTGTTTTCGTGCTTCGCAGGCTGTCAAGTTTTCTTTAATCAATTTGACTGCAATTCGGAGCACGCTTCCTAAACACTGTTTGGCTGGTTCCAAGTCTTTAATTCCAGTCGCAATTTAATCGAGTATTAGTTGATTTCGTTGCATCGAAGTTTTTTATAAAAGCCACAACGGTATAAAGTTTGAAATGATTTTAAATTTTCAGCTTTTTCATTATGTTACATACCCCTTGTAAGACCTCGCTGCGCACGAACCCTATAACATATGTGCGTGAATGAACAACTTCGAGCTTTGAAGTGGATGAAAGGATGAACCTCTAGGATACCTCTATTGAGGTGAAATTAATAACGAAATAGACAGGTTGAAAAGGTAAATTTTAGCTAAAGTTTGTCGATATTTGGCGCGAATTTTCAATTTTGAATCTTGATTCCTCTTGAAGTCCTCGATGCAACTTTTACAACTTTGTGACGCATTTCCCTAAAAGAAAATGCTGTCCTTTCAACCAATCAAACGTCAGTATTTACGATAACCTTATCATTTGCCAAATTTGTTGATAGTTTTGTTGTTGCGCTAAAACATCCTCTAGCCTTTGGAGGGCAGTCGTTGAAATTTCGACTTTGCTTAGGGTGTTTCTTACCATACTTGGAAAACCATCGTTCCGTAACGAGGCTTCCATTGCACACGATTGAGACAGACTGCAGCTTCAGATCCTCCTTACAATAACGCGTCAGTTCTCCAACAAATTCGCCACGTTTGTAGATAAAAGGTTCTCCTCCAGAAAAGTTGATTTTTTCCATCCCTAAAAATGAATGAAAAGCACAGAATCCTTGACATGCAGGTATGTATGTATATATGTATGTATGTATGTATTTTAACTTAATAGTCCATCAACGTAACTTTTCTGGGTCAATACAAACAAATTGGAAATTAAGGTTGTTGTCAACAAGATGTGGTCAAACCCGGTCAAAATTCGTTTTTTTTTTGCTCTTTAGTTAAAAAGTTTTAAAGCTGACGTTTCGAGCGTCAGTCCTTCGTCAGAGCGAATGGATTTCGCCCTTAGCATTCGCTCTGACGAAGGGTTAACGCTCGAAACGTCAGCTTTTAAACTCTTTACGGTGGCCAATTTACGATATCAAGTCAGTTGATAATACTTAATTACCCTGTTATACTCTTTCACCGACGCACACCACAGTTTCTTTAGAAACTTACCCCCTGTGATCAAGCGTGAATAATATCTGATACTGGTTAAGCAAGCAGAACATAAACATCAACAGGTCACGGAATGGAAAAGGAGCATCAGAATATTTTACTCTTGTTTAGGGACGATTCTAGATATCTGGGGTTAACATCTGAGGAAATAACATCGGAAGGGAGCTAATTTCTTCGAGGTATCCAGAAAGAAATTACGATGGAACATTAAAGAAGAATCTGACGGGAGATGAACATAGTCTGAAATGCAAAATGAAGGGGGAAGACCTTTATTCAGACCGTCGTCCCGAGTGCCATCCAACACTTTTCCCATTCCATCTCTTCTCACTTTCAGGGAGACACAAAAAAGATTGCTAAAGGCAATTTAAGAGCCTCTTCATTCGAGCTTGTGCAGTCTGCTGGCCCAGTTGCAAGGACCACGCAAAGGGAGGGGATGGGGTTACTTAGATGCAAAATGAAAATCTAAGACCTAATGCAATGACTAATTTAATATTGCTCGTTGAATTGACAGTTTCTGTAACGTAAGAGGTGCAAGGATACGCTTTCTGAATTCTCTGAAACAAAAATTTTTTCTATTTAACAGCTATTTGCTTCAGGCGAAGTGCATATTATTGAATGATCCCTTTCACTTCATCTCGAAGACTATTCACCTAAGCAATTAGTTATATCAAAACAATTGTTCTCCTTGTGCTCAAGAAATATTCTTTAATTCAATTCGCCTTCGGCGAATAATTGTCAACTGGTTTCAGGCAAGAGGTCTAAATAGTGCATATTTCGAATACCCCACCAACACTCAAAATGGTTTTAAATTTCTCTTTCTTTCAATCACTAGTTAACTGCTAACCAAAGAGAGCCAGAAAGCGATCGTGGGAAAGCAATCTACGGACAAAGCCTCTAATCAGTAAACTGTAACTTTCTTTTAGTCTATCTGTGCGTCTTATTGTGGTGTGATCTGAAGGACATAAGCAGCGTTTTAACGGAAGTGGCTGTGTTTCACCGAGCACACCTCCTCACTACGCCCGATCATTTTCTTTTCCTTTTCAATTTTATCTAGGTTTGTTTGGCTGTGGCCTGAGATCTTTCATATTTGCCAGAGACTGAGTCGTAATTCATTGCGTGACTCTGTTACTTCTTTCATTAGATATGAATTTCATCAGAGCGAAATACGTAACTTCCAAGAAGTATTCTCAGAAAATTCGGCCGGTGAAAACTGATTAATTCGAATCAGTTTCGCGGAAAGCCCGTCTGACCGAATAATACAAATTTTTCGTTTTAACATTGATCTGCCTTAGTTAATGAAGCAAGCCTAAGGTCTGTGTTTGGCTTTCATTAAAACCCTACCTGCCTCTTTGAGCATCATTAATCCTCGTTTCGCCTCGTCAATTGGTAGAACGGATGAAGTTTTTGCGGTATGGAAGCAGAAACCACATTTGTAGTTGCACTGTCTTGTAAAGTGAAAGTTGACACTTCGAGGAATGATTTTATCGGTGGAAAGAGCGCTAGAGTGCAGCTCATTTCCTCGTAGGCCAACGCGCTTTCTTCTTCGGCCCAAATCTTTGTCAGGACTTGTTGGTATTTCTTTCGAAGCGTCACATTTCGCCTCTTTAACTTTTCTTCGTGGAAGAAAATTCTTGATCAAAGAAAAGATAACGATAATAATGAATGCAATAGGAATCAAAATGGAGAGTAGGAGAGACAACAAACTATCTTCAGCCATCTTTGTTATCAGTAAGTTCTCAGAAAAGCACCCAGATTTATTCTCAGAATTTGGATGACGTCATTGGTTCATCTTGGTGAACAATGAATTCCGAGAAAGTACCCAGATCTATTCTTAACTTTTCGATTACGTCATTGACGTTTTGGCTTTAGTCCTTCATTATTTAAAGGTAAAAGCACCTATAAACCACATACAGCAAATTATTGCGCTTCGGAGAATGATAATTTACCTTTTAGAAATATGGATGCAATGGAGCAGAACGAGCAAGGAGCATCTTTTTGGTATTATTTATAGCGGAGCACCGGCGTAGCAGGTGCCCATGTTGATAGATAAAATCCCCGGAAAAGCATTAGATTTATTCTCAGAATTCTGATGACGTCGTTGAGGTTTTCATTTTATTTCCGCATCCGGTTCGTTCTTATTCAAGTGAATGACGATACTAAGCAAATTTTAAATTTTTGTGGGTGAAACCGCAAACCGCTTTTCCCTCAAGTTACTGTCATTCATGCAATTTACCAGACGACGCTAGTGACTGTGTTTTAACCGATTAAAACTTGTTAATACGAAATGCGTTCAGTGGAGAAGAAACAAACAAGAACGTTCAATGTATTACCTGTAGCGGAGCTTCGCAGCAAGAAGTGCCCATGTCGATAGAGGGAATTCCCAGAAAGCTCTTGATTTATTTTAAGAATTTCGATGATCTCAATGTCTTGATCACGTTACATCTGCCTCATTCTTATTCAAGTGAACGATACGGGTAATAACCGAAGTTTAATTATTTGAGGGTAAAAGTACACGTTGGCTCTTCCTTCATGATCTCATGCATGCAACTGGCCAGATGAGGCTAGTGACTGCGCTCTAGAGAATTATAACTTGCCTATTGGAAATGGAAGCTAGCACGAAGCACCTTCTATGCATCATTTACAGCGGAGCTCCGGCGCGGCAAGCGCCCTTGTTGATGTAAGGAATTCTCGGAAAGCACCCTGATTTATTCTCAGAATTTTGATGATGTCATAGATGTCAATGATTTTGCATTAGGGTTACGTTCTTCTTCAGCTGAATAAGGGAAATAACCGAAGTTTAAATATTTGAGGGTAAAAGCACAAGTCACCTCTCCTTCCGATGGCGTCATGTTGATGGAAGGAATTCTCGGAAAGCGCCCTAATTTATTCTCAGAATTTTGATGACATCATCGATATCAATACAAATTTTAAGAGAGGCTAACGGAAGAGTTCATCTAATATTGTGCAAAAGAGCCGTGTCTCTGAATTAAAAGAAAGGAAGAAATTATCCACAAGTTTTGGCAACGTATGAAATGAATGAACCGTCTAAAAGCTCTGATGTCCCGTGCCTTATGGCTCCGGCAAGCCTCAAGAGAACATGAACCATGCAAATATCTACGGTCAGGCACAAATCGAAATTTTATTCTTGTATGGAATAAAAAAATTATACAGCACTACAGTCTAAAACATCACGAGTAATAACACCAGTTAACCTTCTATACTAATAAAATTGTCTCTGCTAAATGTCACCACGGTTATTTTCCAAAGTGATTCGTCTCAAAGGCAATGCTTTTTGTTTGCTATCAATACTTAGCCGTCAGGCGAGAATCATCATCACGTACTGAACAATTTAATATGGAGCTTACGCACAAACGTTATTGAGATGCGGGCGGCAACCGGAAGTTAAAAGTTCTCATATCTGTTTCTCATATACCTTTTCGGCCAGCACAAATTAGTTTAACATTACAGTCGATATATTGACGTTATTGCGCGCTAAAATCACAGTTCTTTTATTCTTCTTCCGGTTTCCGTCCGAGTCTCTAAAACGTCTCTGCTTAAGTTCTCCAATGCTTCGCAAGATTCTTGAATCACCATATGAAAGATTTCGCGCAAAATACTTTCTGTAAGAGTATTAGACAAGGAACTGAACACATTTAAAACTATCTTCATTAGAAAAATCCCCAGATACTCTTGAAAGGAGTCAAGTCAAAGATTCTGCATCTTGAAAACTTAAAGCTTAAATTTTCCAAGTTCAAATTGCTATATGCGACCATCCTCTCCAACCTTGATTTTAAATGGGTGTATTCTTTTCACATTGGTATTTTTTTAACTTACCAGGCTCAGAATATTTTGTGGATTCTTTCAAATTGTATGAAATTATGCACGCCGCAGAAAACGTCTCGACTATTGTGTAACGGCCCTTAAATTTAGCTTTACCTTTGAACAAACTACCTGAGATTTGCAAAGTTACCCGTCATTTTACAAAGAAATCTTGAGAAACTATGTTTAATCTTTTGGAACCATTGTGGTGAAGTCAGCCCTTAGTTGTCCGGAAGTTACAAAAAGGATTGCTGTCTATAAGACAAATAGTTCACTTTAGCGGCTATAGTTTTTGGGTTCAATCGTTAACTACGCAAAATATGGAAGAACAACAAGCTTGATATCATTAAAGGCCAACTATAAAATTAAAAAAAAAAAAAAAAAACAGTCTGAAAACAATTCTGAGATTTCCAAATAGGTTCATTTTTCATAAAAACTGAATTCCCTTGAGTAACTAGGAATACCTCGGAGGAGAGGAGGAGAAGGACTCTGTACAAAAATAACAAGAGTGGTCTGTACTATCACAGACATAAAACGCCACAGGGATTGATACATGTACCACAAACGGATTAAAAGAGACTTACAGCAGATCCAAACTTGCACCTTTTAGGTTTTCTGGTGAAATTTTTGACTGCCGCTCCTGTTACGTTATATGGGATGAGGGGGGGGGGAGGCAATCAGGCAATCAGTAAACCCAGCTGACTGGGACCCATTGCGGCTCAGAGCTGAGCCCTTCGATACAATCCTTGAGTTGAGACAAGGCTTTATCAAGGTCGTCATTCACAATGACTTTATCAAAATAATGCGAGTAGCTGTTGAAAAGCTTCTCTGATTCCTCGGCTGTCCTCTGAAGATCTTCGTCCTGAAAACAAATCAAATATTATATAATTACAAATTTACAAAATCCTGATAAATGATTAGCTCTGAGCAGTAGCTGTTTGCCTCTTAATATTGTTAAATGATAATATTACAATTATAGTTAATCTACGATATCGTAAGGGTTTCCTGTATTGGTGTTGGAAAGAAAAGGAATGGAAATATTATATTATTTTAAGTCATTTAATGTAAGTTATAAAAAGGGCAGGTTGACTACTTCGTATTCCTTCTTGGTGGTCTTATCTTAAAGGTTGAGTTTGATCACGTTCTTCTTGTGAGTTTGGCCACGTTCTCCTAGTGAGTTTAATCACGTTTTCTTTGTTGTGATCGTGAGGTTGACATGAAACTCGTGATAAGCCATGTACTTAAATAAGTTAATTTGTTAGTCCAGGAAGAGTAAATCTCCCTGGTAATAGGTCGCGCTCGACACCTTCGTGTTCCCAGAGGTAATTTTAAGGGTAAACAGGTGATACCCCTCATGTTTCGCAACCAAAAGCAATTTAGGGGCGGTACTTGTGAGCGCCTTTCTTCTTTAACTCTTGTGACCAAGATGTTGTTATGTAACAATCTTTAAAGGTGATTTTCTCTTAAGATACACTTTCAGGTATAAATAACACTCTACACCAAGGTTATTTGTAATTTTTATATTGTCGATCTCGTTTCTGTTCTGGCCGATCTCAACCGTAAAGATATGAAAATTAAGGTAGAAATTGATTTTTTAACTGCGTAAACAACCCTAAGGTGCATACTCAGTATGTGGAACTATAATACGTAGTCAAGCGTGATTCGCTAGTTGAGATGGTACGATGACGACACAAGAAGATTGACGGCTTAGAAATGTCATCCGCAGTGTCACCTTTATAAGCGGAGACTCCAGTTTTCCCTGATATTTTGGAGTTAGTCACCGCTGTAACAACTTGAGAAGAAAATAAATTAAAGAAGAATCAAGCAAACCAACAACGAGTGTTAGAGAATTTACTTCTTCTAGTCCACGAGAAGTCCCTCTTTTTCGGCGCCACGCGAAACTCTGGGAGTGGGGCGCCCGAAAATTACTCCACACTTCCAGAGTTTCCTTTAACAAGTAAGTACTCTAGTCGATCACCAGTGATAAAATGACCGGGTCGCATGCTTACCGTCTGTTTCTTGGTGATAGTTCCCTCTGATGTAGCTCGCTTATGAATTATCCTCAGGTCATCAATGGGTGGCGAAGCAATAAATACGACAAACGGCATGAATTCTGGAGTCTTCAGAATCTTTAGAGCCTAAAATGAACCAGAATTCATTAGCCGAAAGAAATTGGAAAGCAGGCTTAAGAATCAAGTTTTTGATTCGAAAGCCAGAGAGTTGGCAAGTATCTGTAGCGTAAAAAGTCAGCGACGCACATGTATGTCGAGCTTATTTGAAACAATCACTTCCAACCCTTTCACCCCTAAGGAAATGTACAAAGAACAGAATAGAGAATATGCAAACTGCTGTTAGGGTGTAAAGGGTTATTGTCGGGATTCATAGCCTATAAGCATAGCTTTGTTTTTCGCATCTGAGCTAGCTTATATGGATATCATCCTGCAATTGATCACTTGTTGCTGTTTGGAAAAAGACGCATAAATTCTTCCCAAGAATGCCGACACTCAATCCTCGTTTTCTAGTCTTTTCTCCAGGTCTTGCACACTAGTTAGCGAATCTCTTAACCAATCAGATGCAAAACTTAAAAACAATCGCGACTTGGATATGCGCGTTTTCCCGCGCTTCCAGCAGTTTGTTTGTTTTCACTTTGAGTTCTCATTGGCTTATGGCAATGTAAATCTTTGTTCTGGGATTACTTTGGTTTTAGTTTTCAATACACAATTAGAAATTGCTCTACATTGATTCAAAATTCTGCTTTTCCTTACCGTAGAATTAACATCCAGAATACACATTTTCCCTGAGCGCATGACTTCACGAATACTGTCGACCTTAGTTCCATACAAGTTTCCCTCATAGTCGCCATGTTCCAGATACTTTCCAGCCCTAATGTCTTGCTCCATTTCTTCTCGGCTTACAAAGTTGTAACCTTTGCCATTTTCTTCGCCTTCTCGTGGCTCACGTGTTGTGTCTGCACAAAAAAAAACAAGAGATATTGCTTGAATTTAGAAAGGCAAAATGTACAATACTTAAAAAATTAACAAGCGAGCAAGCCCTTCCCACGCGCGGAGACATTTTAAACGAGTAGGCGAGAGGTTGTTCGACACATAAGAATGAATGAATTCTAGACATACAGTAGATCTCCCATAACTTGAACTATTGATGGAAATCCTAAAGAATTCAAGTTATTGCAATAGAACTGTATCATTAAAACTATTTTACTAAGAGGGAAAGCAATCTTTTAGTGGTTTCATAGCAATTCTTGCAATTTAAACTATGTTCTCATTCTGGTCAATAACTAAGAAATAATGTGCTACACTTTGACAAAAGGCATTTCAGTTATTAAGGGTAACATTGTAACGATTCCAAATGTTAGGAATGTTAGAATGACCCAATGATGAATATTAGGAATGTTAGGAATGAAAGACCCAAAGAGAACCTGACTACGAGTTCAAAGGGGTTTGGGTAATTGACCGTAAAAGTACACTGCATATAGAGAACTTTTCGATTGAGTGTAGTAAAACGAAACCAAAGTTATTACAACGACCAATCAGACAAAAGGAAAATATCTTTAAAAGCCAAAGGGAGCTCAAAGTTGAAACCGACCAACCTGTCCAAAGCGCAGGAAAACGCGAGCGACCAAGTAACGATTGGTTTTTTTCGTTATGTATCAGATCGGTTGAGTTAGTGATCCGAGTTTTCTGGACCAAACACCGAGCGAAGTGATGCAAAAACAAAACAATCCCGAATTATTTTTGACACTCAATTGAAAATTTCAATATCTAGCAAATCCAGTGGAACCTAATGGTAATACCACGGTTGTTACACTAGAACATCTGCTGAGCTCGTAGCTGTACTTAGAAGTCATTAAAGTGGTACTCACGGGGTATTGTAGTACCAAATCTTGCCCTGTCAGACAGGATGATCCTGTTTTTCAATGTTCTTCGACCCACACCTTGAGCACCTATAAGATTTACACAGGTTTCAGAATGAGAGTATAATTTGTGGTTAAATCTGTAGTTTGGAATTAGCGCCGGAGATTTAAAATTACAGTACGTTTATGCAAAGGGCAAGCTGCAAGAATTAGCTTAGGGTTTCAAGTTCGTGCCTCTCCTCACAAAAGACACATTGATTAGGGATTTCCATAATCAGTTTTTCCATAAGCGGCTGCTGATGGTGAAATAAGCAGCTGTGCCGCAGGGCGGAACCCAAACACGAGAGCCTGCACACAAGCTAAACAGACGGCGGTAAAGATGTAATTCATTTTGTAAACTTAATTATTCGAAGTGTCGTGTATTTTAAAGGTGTTTCCTTACCAACAAGTACTAGAGTCTTGCGGTGGAAAGGTGGCATCTTGGCAACTTCTTCATATATAATCATTTCGTGTCTATCGAAATCTGTTGAAGAGTGGAAAGAATTTGATACTGGCTTGGCGATACAAATTGGATGGTAATATAACTGAGTGATGAATATAAAGTTACCTTAAAACTCAGAAAACCGTGAACAACATAAATATCCCTGAAACGTGATCACGATCCGTTAACTATCAGGCATCTTAACCTTTTGACCCCAGACGTGATCAATTTGTAATTTCTCGATGTGATTCCAATATGTTACCTTACAAACAGGTAAGAAGAAAAGACTATCTCAACAGCAAATTGAAGAAATTGTAACGTATCGTAGCAATGCAGCCTTCACAACTCACCAGCATTTTTTGCAGACTTGTACATTATCTTCTGCTTCTTTTTGCTACCACACACTGAAAATGGAAGTAACAAGCATTTCCAGTCAATTTCTTTTTCAGAGCTTTCGGTCCTTCTCTGTTTCACTTCCTTACATCCTAACACTGAACAAAAAATATTTGTTGTCCTTCTAGTATATGCTTGTACCTATACAAGTACACGCAACTACTCAGAGCGAGAAACACTTACAGAATCCACTACCAGGTCTATCCTTCTTGACAAACGATCTTCTCCTGGAAACCATCAAAGATACAAAGAGTCAAATTCACAGTTATGACAAAAAAATTGCCAATTGTTATTGAAGCAGTATACAATACTCTACTAACTAACATTCCTAACATTTGGAATTCTCTCCCAAAAATGGTCACTGGTTCGACTAGCTTCTCTACACTCCAACAAGATGATGGAATTTTTAATGAAAACAGCCTGAAACCAGCAAGCCGCACAGCCTAATTTCAAAGATATGGACAACCAAAGTGGTCTCGATTACAAGCTTGAGCCCAGTTGTTCAAAGAGTGGATAATGCTACCCAACAGATAAATCACTATCCAGAGGATAACTTTCAAGAAAACGTACTGCGCCATCCACTGGATAGCGATTTATCCAGTGATTAGCGTTATCCAACCTTTGAACAACCGATGCCTGATGGCTTCTTGCATGTCTACTTGCTCAACCACACTGTTGTCTTGAATTTGTGTAAAATTAATGTTACTTTGGAAGATGCTAATACATCATGGTGATAATGATACTAATTAGTTAAATATTGCAAATGTTGCAAGATATTGCAAAGAGATGATGTTTTTTTTCAGTCAATTTTGGCTTATGGAGGTTTTGTCTCAATCATGGTTTTATGTTTTTAATTTTTGTCGATTTTTTTTTTTTCCTCCGCTATGGAAAAATTGAGTGGTCATTGGGCCCTTAACACCATGACAACTAACTGTGATCCAGTGAGGGTGAAGGCGTTCACATGCTGATCACGTGTGTTATCTTGATGACGATTGACGTTGTAATGTACGGACAGGGCCGGGTCACATGACGAACCACGAAATTTTTGCCTATAAAACTCTTTTGTCAGCCATTTCTTATTTTTCCTGGGGTTGTTGTTTTGATGATGGAGATGCAAGGTTTTTGGTTTACGATTATCTGAAGCTTCATGGTGCAAACGCTCAAAATACTTACAGACACACACACACACAAGTCGTATTGTTCGAGGCCAATCCACACTAAAAGATGTTATTGAGCGGTATTTTTGGAACGGATTGAGATTGGAAAAAGCACATTGAATTAAATAAGTACCAATTACCTTTCCTCGCAAATTTGGCTGGGAATAATCCCTGCTTCGTCTGTGCCATCAGTCCTCTTAGCCTGAAATTTGAAGTTAACAAGATTGTGTTGCCCATAGACTACAGTATCAGGTTTTTTTTAAACTTAAAAGGAATGTGAACATTGTTGAAAACTAGACAGCATTGGTTACAAGGTTGTCTGTGAACTACTGTGCATGTAAAAGAATATCATCTTTTCAACCCAATCTTTAGTTCACAACATGAAGGAAACAGGAAACTGGCCTAAAGCCTCCTTTACAGCCTAACATCAGTTTGCATATTCTCCTTACTGTTCTCTAAACATTTCCCGAGGTGCTGACAAGGAGAATTTGTATAACAATCAAGAGCTTCTTTGACTGGTAGTGATTTTCTTTATTCTCATGACATTAATGTGTGATTCAAGGGTGATATTGTAAGGAGAAATTATATGCTAGTCATGCTAAGGGGTTCAAGAGTTAAGACTAATAAATCTTTCAAACAGAGAGATGGTGTAAAGAAAGAAAAATGTCAACAAGGGGATGTCAACTGATTTAACTCTAAATTCTCAAGGCTAACATTTTAAGAGATGTATGGGAAACAGTGCAGAGAATTTATCTTTAGATCATTACACTGAAAGGGTTAAGGGTACCTGCCACCAATTGGGATCCTCCTGTTCGACAATCTGTAGCACATCACCAATTTTGAATGACAAGCCAGCATCTTTGCAGGGAATTATTTTGTCCTTCTCTGGGTCATAGTCAAAGTGAGCCCGAACAAATACCTGTACAAATGATTTAATCAAGTTATTCAATTTTAGAGCACTAATATAATTAACTCTTTAACTCCCAAGATCTGATTGTTAATTCTCTCTTCTAGCTGATACAAATTTCTTTGTAAATTGGTTAGGAGAATTTGGTGTTCAATCAAGATAACATCTTGTACCTGATAAGTTTGAGTAATCTCACTACTTGTTTGCAAGATAATGTACAGATACTATAGGAAGAAGTTACATGATAATCACTTGTGGGAGTTAAAGGGTTAGGAAGAACAGACGGGGAGTGGTTCATAGGATCAAGTGCTCCAACTGCCAAGTCTCCTAAATCAGAGAGACTGGCAGGAACCTCACAGAAAGACTGACTGAGTGCAAGGCAGCAGCTAGATTTGGCGATGCCAACAATCACATCGCTAAACATCATCAATCAAGCTATGAACCACACTACTGACTGGGACTCTGTACAATCACTAACCTACAGCAATAACTCTTTTCAAGAACTGACTCTAGAAAGCTGGTTTCACAAACTAAGAACAGACTCTCTTTAAAGGTGTCAACTACTACTGGCACCATACAAATAACTCGTTTATGACAATTACACCACAAGTTAGTAAATAAGTTGTTTACCTGGCTCAAAGCTGGTGCCTCCAGACTAGTTGGAATAACTTTCAGAAAGATTTTTCCTGTGGATTCACGCTTAGAAAAAAAAAATTAAATTCAGCTGGGACTTACAACAACAACATAAGGTAACTCCAAAACAAATATCTCTCAATTTTTCAAACTGTTAACTAATAAAACTTACTTTTCTGTTATCAAGCTGTAAGACTCACCAATAAATCTTGAAGTTCTTTAGGATTTCCACTCATGTCTCTTCCATTCACTTCCTTAATTCTGTCTCCAACATGAAGAAGCCCTTAAAGTGAAACAAAAATTTCATGCAATTTCTGAAGGTTACATAAAATGAATGTTTTTTCGCAAATGATAATCATTTAACCTGAGTGACAGTTATGTAGAAAAATAATGAATTGTATTCTAGCCAAGACCCAGTTTTTAATATGCTTACAATCTCTACTAAGTCCCCCTTCTTCAATGAGCCTCCTGTCGGGAAGCATTAGGAATGAAGAAGCTCACCAAGGCCTACTTGGTAAATTGAAATCTCCTTAATTTGTTTACCTTGTCTGTCAATCATCCCTCCATGAATAATCCTTGCAACAACAAGTTCTCCTTTCTCTACAACTAATGTCATCCCCTTAATAACAAAAAAATGACATGGGTGTTGATAAAATAATAATAATAATAATAATAATAATAATAATAATAATAATGACAATAACAATATTAACAAAAACAATGACTATGATGGAAAATCCTACAATCTATTCTCCAATAATGATGATAAACAGTAATAATGATAAACAGTAATAATGATAAACAGTAATAATAATAAAATTAACTTTAAAGAAAGTGAAAAAACTCTTGAGTCTGTAAAACATGTTTTGACAGAAACTTTTGTCATCTTCAGTTAATTACTGTACAAAGCATTGGAAGTTGAATTATATGGTAAGTAGAACAATGCTAATTATGATGAATAGTGACAACAAGAAAAGAGGTAAAGCATGAAAGTGTGAGAATTAAAAGGATAGTTTTAGATTTACATGGTGTAATTGTTGATTCTAAAAACAACTAGATCATGCCTCTGCCGGTTTTCAACTTGAGATAAAAGAGGCTATTCATATTCAAAGAGAACGACCATCCTTGAATCAACAATTACACCATGTTGTTGGCTGTATTCTAAAAAACAGACAAGTATGTCTGCTGCAAAGGACAAAAAAAAGGGTTGTGATAATTTCTTAGTATTGACAATGGCACTTTGAGCCATGTACATAATCTTAGCGTGTCATGCTCAATTTTATACAGTCCATGACGATTACCCTTAATTTTGGTGACCATGTTCCTCTTCGACTTTTAGTTTTTATGTCAATCTTTAAAATCTTCTGGACTTTCAAATCAGTGTAATTGCATAACAAACAAATTAACATGAGAATCATCTGAAATTGCAATATTTCCAACAAGTCTTCATGCCACCTTATAGGTTTGTTGGCTTTGCGATTTAAAGCTGAGGCAATTTTTTTGGATAAATTTCTACAAAAGAATAATAAATCTGGACAAACCAGTGGTTTCTTAGGCTGCTTATGTAAGCCAACCATTCTGATGGGTTGCCCACCAAAGCCATTCATAGTACCAGCCTCGTCAGTCGGTCCAGGAGAAGCAGGTGGTGATGCGTACTTCTTGAATGCGACATTATCATGAACTTCCAATAATGCCTGGCAATGAAACACCGATTTAGTGATGTGATCTATTAATTCTTACAGAAAAACTTCGACATAGCAGCCCATAATTAGCTAACCTATTAAAGAAATAATCTTCAAAAATTATCTCAGTCTTCTTTACTTAACCCTTTAACCTGCAGAAATGATTAAAATGTAACTTCTCCCTATAATATCCATACATTTTCCTGCACACAGGTAATGAGAATACTCAAACTAATCAGGTAGAAGTTTTTATCTTCATCTAACACCAAATTCTTGTAACAAATTAACAGGAAATCTGTAGCAGCTGGAGGGGAGAATTAACAATCAGATCTTGGGAGTTAAAGCATCAATTTTTTTATTGATTACACTCAATTGATTGTACAGCACATGGAGTGAATATATAAAAATTAAATTAGTAAAACTAAACTAAAAGATCACATTGCATTAATGAAAAATTCAAGGAAGCAAGATTTACATTATAGATGTTCATACCATGAAATGAGGCTCTTGCAGGAGACCAGACAACTCAGCTGCACTATCATCATTTGCTACTTGTGGCTCAAGTTCTGTGGTAACCTGAAATAACAGTCAACATATTAATTACATGGCTCGCTCTGCAATCCTCTGAATCCTGTGATCTGATTAGTTAATGGAGATGAAATTGTATGGTTTTGAGAGTATACAAGAGAGAAAAAAAGGAGGCATAAAATCTTTATTATCACTAAATTATAACTTCAAGTAAATAAAGGCATTAAAATTAATTTCTTTGCATATCATTAATATCATTATGTTCAACAGTACAAAATACCAAACTCACCTCCCTTGCAAGCTCTGCTGTGTTTGGAGTCTCAACTTGCTTGCGACCCTCTTCAAGTTTGTCATGTGCCTAGAAAAAGTTTAATATGAAAACAATGTTATAGAAACATAAACAGTGTATGGATCTCAAAAATAAATTACACTTGTAATACTAGCCACTTTATTTAAGCAAGGAATGAACAGGTCAGGTCTTGAGAATCAAGCAAGCAAGTTAAATTACTCACCTCTTACCAGTTGGCATTTTAATCCCTATTTTAACCATTTGACTACCAGATCAAATTTGTAATTCTCTTTACAGTCAACCATACAATTCTTATAATGTTAGTTCAGAGAATTTAGTATTGGATCAACTTATTATTCTCACATTGATATTTTCCTTTATTCTCATCACTTGTCTGCTTGATATTGTATTGATATTGTTAGGAGAAATTCTGTCTTGGTCACTCATGGGAGTTAAAGGGTTAATTGGAATAATTTGTTTCATTGATTTTCTTGGTCAACAAGCCTTTGTGCCATAAACACAGCCAAACTTAAAAAAACCTTCCTGGTTTATTTATGTTATGTTTCACTTCTTCTCCACTTATAACATGCAGACATGTAACACAAACAAAAACTAAATGTAACATTCACCCTGACAAGTTTCAGCACAGAGGGATCTCCTAGAATACTCTTCAAAGCATTCGCTTGTTCTTCAAGGATAAGTCCAGCTGTTTTTGGATCATCAAGCGACTTCAGCACAGTCTGCACTGCTATGGAAACAAGTGAATCACACATAAGTTATATTCAATAAAAAAATTACAACAACTTATCTCCATCTAGATAGTGTAAAGCAACATTTGTGAAAAAATTAAAGTTTGGATGTTATTGCTTGTAAAGTATATCTAGATTCTATCAAAATATTTATGTACAACCTGATAGTGTTTTTTCTAGAAAAAAATAACAAAAAAAAAAATCTCAAATATGTAAATCAGGGCTGTCACTGAGGGTCCAGGATACTAAAGGCTGGCTATTTTTAAAAAGTTTGGTTGTTGTTTCACAAAAGCGCATCCTAAAAAATCCTCAATTTAGCTTAACCCTTTAACTCCCATGAGTGACCAAGACAGAATTTCTCTTACAATATCAAGACATTACAAGGAAGATAAGTGATGAGAAAAAAGAAATATCAATTAGGGGATTATTAGTTGATTGAATACCAAATTCTCCAAACTAACATCACAAGAACTGTTTTATAGACAGTAAGGAGAATTAGCAATGAGATCTTGGGAGTTAAAGGGTTATTAACCTTTTGTCTGAACATTTATTCATAATATGAGAACAGTGTCAAACGGGCCAAAAGCTAACAATCAAAGGACACCTATCTAATTAAATCAACCCTCTTATAGACAAAGACTGATGCTCACTGATTGTACAAAACTGTGGTTTGAGCAAAACTTTGTGTAAAAAATTGGCCAAAAGAGTCTGAAGCCTGTCTACTTTGATACACGTCTATGTCTTTGGAAAGGGAAAATACATCAAAGAATAAAATTGAAAACAGAAAAATAAACCCATACTTTATTTGAAAAACCAAAATTCTTGGCACTTTTGCAATTTCTGAGGCTATGACTTAAAATGCACTCCAGTTGACAGAGGTCAAAATATTTTCCCCACCAAATTCAATTGCAAATTCAAATTCAGTCTGCCTGAAGAGTCAAATAAAAATCATGATTTATTGTCAAAAACTTTTGAAAGTTTTTACAATGCTGTAGAGGAAAAGGAACAGTAATGCCTCTCTAGGACAATGTTAGTTGTTCCCTAAAAGTATCATTGATGAAACAGAAAGGACAGATGTTTTATCACATAGTTTTCATGGTCAAAATTAGAACTAAGATTATTTGAACATTTGCATAATGTTATCATTTGTCTTTTGTTGTTTTCTTTCAAGAACCTCCAAGACAGTTACTCACATTTCATTTCCTATTCTGACTGGTAATAAACCTTTATTTCGAGCTACCATTTCATCCTTAAACCTTTAAAGTTTAAGACACAGCCAAGTGGCTACTTTGAAAAAAGTTTATCCTAAAGCATCTAGGATTGTTAATTAAATAAAAATGACATTTGTTTTGAAATCTTAGGGTGAAATAAGGTCAGTGTTGAGCTCTGAAAATCAAATTCACAATTAATTGTGAAAACAACATTCCTTTTTTCAGAAATCACAGTAATGTTACAAAGAAAGATGATCTTAAAATTTTGGGCCACGATGCCTTTTCATTTCACCAGAAATAACAACTGCCCCAAGCTACATCTTTACACAACATTGCTCATGTGTATTAAAGCATTACATATTCTTATCAGTAACAAGCTTGCAATCCCTAAGCACTAAAAATGCAAACATACACACTGCCTGTCACTATACATGAATGCATGTAGTGCAAAATACATGCAAGTGCATGTAAAATGCATTTAATAGGCACCCAATCAGTCTTTTAATCCTTTAACCCCTAAGGGTGACTAGCATCTAATTTCTCCTTACAATATCACCCTTGAATCACACATTAATGTCATGAGAATAATGAAAATGATCACCACCCAAAGAAACCCTTGATTGTTAAACAAATTCTCCTTGTCAGCACCTTAGTAAATGTATAGAGAACAGTTCAGAGAATATGCAAACTGATGTTAGGGTGTAAAGGGTTGATCCCTAGGAGTGACAAGCATTATATTTCTCTTCACAGTATCACAGCTGAATCAAACCTCACAGTCATGCAAATAGAGAAAATGATCACCAACTAAAACAGCTCTTGATTGTCAAACAAATTCTCCTTATTAATATTACAACAAATGTATAAAGAGCAGTATAGAGAATGTGCATCCTGATATTGGGGTGTAAAGGGTTGTATATATGTATTGAGACAATAAGATTGAAACTGGGTAGATTAGGGCGGTTGGGTCTAGATTGTGTATTCTATGTTCCATAACATTTCTTCATCCTTTCTTTTAACCCTTTAACTCCCATGAGTGACCAAGACAGAATTTTTCCCTACAATATCAATACAATATCAACCAGATAAGTGATGAGAATAAAGACAAATATCAATTTGCTGGGGGATAATTAATTGATCCAATGCTAAATTCTCTGAACTAACATTATAACAATTGTATGATTGACAGTAAGAAGAATTACAATTTTGATGGGGGAGTTAAAGGTTAAGAGAGTTGAATACCAGCTGGTTGGCACTTAAATTGAGTAAACTAGACCCATCCCAATGGACTGTATCTCTAAACATTTACATAATTCTACTGACACTGTTGGGTCTCAGTATCTATTATTAATAGTGATTTTTTTTTTTGGCAAGATAATAGAAACTGAAATACAAAGCACTAAAAAATGAGAATTAAATGTACCAGTCAGATATTGGAATCTCGTACAAACCATCACTGGGTAAACATTATCAAAGTGCATTTTGTTGATACACAACAATCGGATCTTTTTCACTTTTCTGTCCACCACTATCACCACATTCAAGTAAATTTAGTTTGAAATGCAGGCATGTGGAGATACTTTCACCCTTTCACTCTCAGGATCTCATCAATAACTCTCCTTACTGTCTGGCTTACAATTCTCGTGATGTTAGTTCAGATAATTTGCTATTGGATTGATCAACTAAAAATCCCATAATTTATATTTGCATTTATTCCCCTTGCTTGTCTGTTTGATATTGTAAGGAGAAATTCTGTCTTTGTCACTTATAAAATTTTAAGGGTTCATTTAATGGATGTTGCAACTTGAGGAATGTTCTCTGAACACCACTTTTCAATCTGACTTTGGCACAAAGCTATAATCATGATCTTGTCACATGGTTTAAAATCATAAAGTCTGGTGAAATTTAATCCAACATTTGTGAATACAAAACATAAACATGCCCTTTCTCATTGAATTACTGACTTTTCAGAATTGTCTGAGATAACTCAATAAAAAGTGATTTGTTACATTGTTATCTGCAGTTTAAAATTGCAAGGTACAGTTCACAACCACAAATAATGATATATTATACATATATCTCAAATTGAGGTGCAATGTTAAACTCGTGTGTTAAGAATTTTGCCATGAAAAAGTAACTTAAATTCGAATCAAGCAAAGAAACTGCTAAGGCTTTAAAATATGAAGCTCCTTGACCAAAATAAATTTAATCTAGACATTTGATAGTAATTATATTTATTGATGAATAACTATTTTCTGTTTTTATTAAGACCAAAACCGACTGACCATCCTTTGTAAATACTGCCTTCTGAGGATAACCACAAGCAATTTAAAAGTGGGAAAAAAAACTTCCGTAAATTAAAACATAAGCCGTATCATATCCCTTATAAGAAATTTCGTCCATCGAGACAGTAAATCCGACGACATTGCTTTGAAATTATTATTTGATAGCATAAAGCAATTAACAGCATTTTAGGTTTTATAGTTGGAAATTAACAGTTGAACTACAATTAATAAACGATGTCCATCTAACATTGATCAAATTTGCAAAACCCTCAATTCGTGAATCGACAAAGCACACATTTTAAACGGTGGGAATTGGAAATATCCTTATCAAGTTGAAATAAACAATTTAGCAATGAAAGCTACACGCTTACTGGTTCGAAACACACCTCTGAAAATACAACCGATAAATAACCTGGCAAGTTTTCCTCAATCGCGCATATTGAAACGATCTCTACAACATCAGCTATCTGGTAAAATAGATTTAATGAATTACTTTGATTTTTGAACGTGGAACGCAAAATATCGGGAGTCCACCCAAGAAACGAACAATCTCAATTCACAATTTGAAATCTTAATACGTCACACATGGCTGACAATATCATATAATTTCAAGCTTTAGCTGTAATTGTAGTACCTTCAGAGCTCTGCTCCTGTTCTGACTCGGTTGGTTCCACCATTTCGCGATAATTTCGAGAAGAATTAGTTCTGCAAAATACGCTCCAGAGGCTAGGAAAGATGTCCAATAGGTCAGGGGACGCGTTCTGAATAGATTCGAGAACATGCCAATCAAACTAACACAAATTGGTCACGTGAGCTCTCAAACAAAACAAAGTACTCCAAGGGTGGCAGATTAGACAATTGACGGAATACAGAAGTATTTATTAAATACTCTTTTAGAAATTCAATTTTCACAGGTAATAAAACATTGTATGGAGTGCAGACGAGTCATTTGTGTTTTAAATGCTACTGTTGTAAATTTTTCCCAGATCTGTTGTACAAGAAATTCTACCTGCCCCGCTGAGATACAATTCATTCCCAGTTCCTCCTCGGATGGGTTGTACCTTTCGCTTCAAAAATGCATTCCGCTGGTAAAGGAATCTCCTACTATTATCGCTTGTTTATGATAATAGGTCTCGCCCAAAATACCATCGAACGGAGCAGCAATATTCTACAAGAATCGACGTAGCTTTCCTTAAGGCTTCGACTCTTAGCGAGCTACGTAAGAGAAGATTTGCTCGGGCGTGCTGTGGAATCCGGTCATTCAGCGCTGGAATTAGAGAAATCGAAGTTCTAAATGATCTTCTAAATTAGCAAAATCTTCTAAATGTTCTAAATGAGCCTGATGTAAGTATGTGTCATCAGAGTATAGTATTTAAATCAGTGTGTTTCCTGTTTTGAAAAGATACTTGTAAGCTCCTTACAGTAAATCATTGTTGAATTGTTTCTGGACTTAGAAATTCGCCGAATGTTTATCATGTGGTTGCCATACTGCTAAGAGAACCGTAGCGGTCGTTCGTTTATACTACAGCCAGGGGTAATATTGTACGTACATGTAACTTTACTCGTGATAATTCTAGCCCATTCGTCACCCATTATGATGCGAAAGAATTGTCCTTATTTTTCTAGATTAAGTAAAATACCCACTGAGTGTAACTGTTAAAGTTTCGTATAATCTTGGTTTTTGAATTACTCGACAGATATCGAAAATCGTTACTTTAGGAGGTAACACAAGGTCATCGATTCCATTTCATGCACGTGAGAGTCAACTAAATGTACGGCGAATAATCGTGAATGCTTGGTAACTTCTCGTCAGCCATTTTTAAGGGAGTAGTCATGAAATATAAATCAGTCTGTTTTTTATTACAATTTCCTAAACCGTTGACATTGAGAAATGAGTTAACTGATTGTCATGTCAGCTGAGTAAGTTAACAGCTGTATTTGCTCAGGATATTGCTGCGTGAAATCAAGTACGATAATTAATGGCCGTGTTTCTTATATTGACGAGAAGTTATTGAATCAGAAAGTGAAAAAAGGCATTCTCATATTATATATAATGCATAATCAGAAAAGATCACAAAGATAAAAATGTAATGTCAGATTTTTCAATTAATAACTTCCTGTTCGTGAAAAATTGTATGGAGGATGTAACATAGTGAACTTGGACATTGACTGAAAAAATATGTTTGCTTCACCATCTGGCATGAGACTGAGATAAACTCCGAGTCTTTCGTGAAGGGAGAGAAGTTGCTTTTAAAATTGTTGATCCTGGCAGTATGCCGGATGCTTGTCACATATGAACTTAGTGAAGGTCTTAGTTTGCCTTCAAATTTTCTGTTGGTTTTTTGTTACATGTGGAAGTATATGAAAGTGAAAGGTCTGAGGCTTGAATCTCCTTGATTTTTCCTCTTTCTGCCATCTTGGTAAAGGCCAGCCTTCCCTCATGTCAAAGTGGCAGTTTTTCAGTCAATATTAAATGAATTCAGCAAGGTACAAGCCCCCCTGAGGCCTGATAACTAGCATTGTAGTTGGTTGTTAACTCTGTTTCTGCTTGCGACTCCATCAATCTAGTTTTCACTGGATCATGAGTGATTGAGTCTTATGGTACGCATGTAGATGGAAAGTGATGGAAATGGATATGCTCTGATCAAACACACTTTCCCACTTCACATTTGTACACTTTTATTCAACTTTAACTCCATCAAGTTTATAGCCAATATGCTTAAAGTAATTATGGCATATTCTGTATTTGCTTAGATTTGATACATGCTTTTTTTTTTAGGAAATATTGTTTGTGAGAATATGGCAGCCCTAAGGAGTGATTCTCCCATGATGGATGATGGATATCCTCAGCCATCACTTTTACCTGGAGAAATTGTTGTTGCTAAGGCTATCAATGTGCTCCGATTTCAAACAATGGCAGATCGAAAGTCTGGGATATCTGGAGTGCTGTATGCAACCAACTTCCGTATGTCCTTCTTGACAAGAAACCCAAGTGCAGAAACGAAACTTAACTCTGTGTTTCAGTCAAATCCTGATTTAACTGAAGCTGGAGAAATGTACTCAGATATGCAAAGAGAAATGCACATTCCACAAACTTGTATAGATGAGATTTCTTATTATTCAAGTTCCACTGCAGAAGGATCGAAAATTAAGAAAGTGGTTCCTGGATCACGCATGTCTACTAAAGTTCATTCCTTGGAAATCCGTTGCAAGGACTTTAGAGTGGTAAGATTTGGCTTAAAATTTACTCCCAAAAAAGATCATCAAACCATGGTGAATGCAATTTCCCATTACAAGACACCAAGCTCCATTGTTCTGCTGTTTGCATTCCCCTACAGTAGAGCACAAAACTCTTTGGAAAATGGCAAAGCCAGGCTGAACACCATTCCAACTTTTCGATCTCTTCCTGATTGGCTGAATGAGTTGAGCAGAATCCAGGTTGATGACACATGGCGAGTAGCAACTGTCAACAAGAAATTCCAGACATGTCCATCATTGTCAGAGATGTTTGTTGTACTTGCATCCTTGTCAGATTTGGACATCAACAGGATGTCACTTCATTATGTTGATTCTCGTCTTCCAATTTGGTGCTGGAGTCACCCTCGCACAGGAGTACCTATGCTTTACAGTGGTGCAGGAAGGTATGCTTATACCATAGAATCCACTTATAGTGACTTTTTTAACCCACTGATCCTCAACAGTGACTTACAATATCACCTTTGAATCACACATCGAGGTCATGAGATTTAAGTAAATGATCACCAACTAAGGAAGGTCTTGATTGTAAAACAAATTCCCCTAGTCAGCACCTTAGAAAATGTATAGAGAACAGAATGGAGAATATGCATTCTGATGTTGAGATGTGAGGGGTTAAACATTTCATGTTTGTCCTAGGGGCAGAGGGGAATTATTCATTTCAAACAATAGCCATGATGATCCATTTACTTACTAGGTACTTTGCAAACCTCATCAGCATTTTTATTGTCAGTCACCTCCTTCAAATTTTTGTAAATACTCAATAAAAATTCATTTTTCTTTTTCAGACCAGATAGTATATTTCTTGAGAAGGAAGAAACATCCTTCTTCCAAGCATTATCATTAATTCCAAGCAACACTGAACACAAGGAGGTCAAGGTGATTGATACAACAAAGATGTGTGCAACTACAAAAGACCTACAACAGAGCTTCCTCAAGGTCAGAGAGCTGTGTGTGTTGGAGACAAGCAAGGAGTTTTGGAGCATTGATCCTCATTGGCTTTCAAGTCTGGAAACATCAAGGTACTGACTCATAAAGTCAACCCTTTAACCTCTAAGATCTGATTGTTAATTCTTCCCCTGCAGTGCTACACATTTCCTTGAAAATCAACCGTGATAACTTAGTGTGAGATCAAGATAACTCCTACCTGATAACTTTGGGTATTCTCATTACCTGTTGGGGGAAGTTACATGTTAATCACTTTGGGAGTTAAGCATTGAACAGTCCAAAATTGTGCTGCTTTGGCAGACAAGTGGAGCACTTAATTTCTTGTAGGGTAGAAGACTGCTGCAACAAGCAGCTGGCAATCAAGATATCAGCTTTTACATAATGTATGGTTAATGCCTAACGTAGCAAGAAGTGAGCTGACATAGCAAAGACCTCTTTCATAATGGCAAGCATGATTATCAATCTTTTATGTCCATGCCAAAAGGCACTCTTGTCATAGCTTTTGGGGAAAATTCTATTGTTTTTAACCAGGTTGTCAAAGCCAGAAAGTTTAATACAAAACAATCTAAAATAGACATGCCATTTATGGAAGAGGTATATTAGCATGTAAGGAGCTTTACTGTTAGTTGCAATGAGAGCATTTATTGTCATTTGAAGAGTAAATTCTAATGCAAAGGTCTTTTCACATTATTTTTAAGATGGCTGAATTATGTACGGTTGTCCCTTGTTGCTGCTATGAATGTTGTGCGGTCAATCTGTAATGACCGGTCACCAGTTATTATCAAGGAAACTGGGGGTCGTGATTTTGCTGTGGTTGTAGCAAGTCTTGCTCAGCTCATTTTGGATCCATATTACAGAACAATAAGAGGGTTCCAGACTCTTATCCAGAAAATGTGGGTGCTTGGAGGACATCAGTTTCTCTTGCGCTGTAATCACACCATTCAGCCTACCCAGGAAATTGACAAGGAAGAGTCCGGAGAGTCACCAGTGTTCCTTCATTTTATTGATTGTGTGTATCAACTCACTCAGCAGTTTCCATCTGCATTTGAATTCTCTGAGACATATCTTCATGCTCTTCTTGACACTGTACATGCATGCATGTTTGACACATTCTTGTTTGACTCTGAGAAGCAAAGATCAGAGATGTGTCAAGTGGAATTAAAAGGAAACTCCATGGCATCCTTGTGGGAGTTTGTTGCAGAGCAGCTTGCTGAATCAAGAAACTCAGGGCCTTATCTTAATCCACTGTTTGAGTACAGAAATTATTTGGATGAAGATGAAAATGGAGTGAATGAGGAGTCTGTTTACTTAAGAGTGAACACCCTTGCTCCAGGTATAAAATTCTGGTCGGGGCGTTACCTAAGATGGCTCCCCACAGTTCACGTGAGCACAGGAATGGGAGAGAACTCCTCATTGCAATTCCAGCAGATGATCCTTGTGAATGAATTAAGGGTGTTGCGGCATCGTTTGGCTGTCAACAAGTATGAGCAAACTCCTGATGCAAACTCAATTGATGGACACAAAATTCGTGGTCTGGACTCCACTGATTTTGAATTTAGCACTGATTTTAGTTTGGACTTGGAAACAAGCAAACTACTCACTTCTAGCATGCCATTTATTGGAGATCTGGCCCTAAGCAAGTATTACACTGGAGATTTGCCATCAGCAAATGGATCTTCCAACAATACAGTTGATGTTGGAAAGTTTTGACTGTGTTATTGTATTGGTTGGAGTCAAGTTGGAAGCTTAGATTAGCCAAGAAGATCCTATAACAGCACAGCTTTGGTGTGGCAGTGTAGATGGTTCTTCAAGTGGTTGTTAAGGGAACTATGTTTACAGAGATGGCAATGAAGTAAATCTAGTGTTCTCCTTTTCATGTGGTAACACATGAAATTTACCACCTGTAGTACCTCTTATTACAGCCTAACATCTTTTGGAATTCTTTTAAATTAAGCTGGTAAAAGGATTGCTCTGCAGATTTAAAAATTGATTTTACCTGTCATACTTAAGATAAGGGAGGACAGTGTAAATGTATCAGTTCACCATATAAAGGCACATTTATAAGTTACTGTCAAACTCAGAAAACCATGTCCACCAGAAATGTGATGACCGTTTCAAAGAAGGCCAATAAAGTTTGGCTGTTTGACCTCTGAACTTGCATGACGTGATATGGAGAGAAGTCAGCCACAACGCTCTCCTGAGTGCTCACCCACTCAAATGTTAGAACTCAACACAGAACATGGCTGTACTTTCGAAAGTCAGTTGTTGAGGATTCAAAAATGACACAGATAGCAGTGTTACAAGGAAACAAAAGATGTGGCAGTTGACTGATTTGGGCATACCTAAGATTAAGAGAAATCCTGCAGAATGATTTTTTATTCAAGAAAAAATCTTCTTAATAATTTTTAATTCAACTGGTTCAGGAGATTTTCTTCTTTTAACTCTTAAATTCCCAAATTAAATTAATAATTCTCCTTACTCTCAACCATATAATTCTTACAGTGTTGGTTCAAAGAATTTAGTATTGGATCAACTAATTACCCCCAAATATATATTTTTCTCTGTTCTCATCACTTATCTGGTTGATTTTGTAATGATGCTTTAAGGAGAAGTTCTTTCTTGGTCACTCATGGGAGTTAAAGGGTTAACTGACCTGAGAAATGCTCTTGTTATTGCTAACTAAGCTCACATTCAAGAGACTCAAGAGTCTAATTAATTTGTTAATGTTTATTATTGGAGTCAATGAAATTAAATAAGCTTTAATTGATGAGATTGTAAATTTTGAGTTGAGAATTTTGAGTTACTCACTTATATGGTAACAAATATCAATGTTTACTTCCACAATGTTTTGAACTTTTGCCTCTTTTGGGCCAAAATTTTAAGATTTTTAGGAAAAATGCTATATTAGTATTTTTAATATTATTATATAGTTAAGTTATAATAAGAATGAAATATTCCTGTTATAATTATTATCATCACCTTAACAATTATTAACTGTTTCACACCTTAAGGTTGCAGTTGTGCAGATACTGTATTTCCTTGAATATTAAGTGCACTCAGCCCCCCACCCAAATTAGGGCCCCCCCCTCAGGCCATTATTTCAAACAAGTGTGAAACCCCCCCCCCACCCCCTTCACTAAGTACCTCCCTCAATTAAGTACCCTCAGTCCAATGAGTGCTCCCTCTAAGCAAAAGTTTAAATCTTATTTGAGGACACATGGTAATGGAAGATGAATTGTTTGTTTCTGTAGATATAATAATTCATCAGGTCATAGTTATTAATTAAAAAATGTAATTTTTTTAAATGAAATTGAAATTATGAACACCATGCTATACTATTAAAAAAAGAGATTTTTTAACCCTTTTACTGCTAGAAGTGATTAACATGTCACGTCTCCCAATAATATCTCTACATTATCCAGAAAACAGGTAATGAGAATACCTAACCTTATCAAGAAGAAGCTGTTGTCCTGATCTAACACAAAATTTTTGTAACTAGTTCACTAAGAAATGTTAAGCAGCTAGAGAAATGAATTAACAATCAGGTCTTGGAGTTAAAGTGTTAATTGAAAACAATTTAACTGGCTTATGTGTGAGCTAAGGAATCAATACTTTTATTTGCCATGTATTTATTGTAAGTTGAATGTATGATGTACGTGAATATATGAACAATTAAATCATATCCTAAACCTTGATGAAGTTTACTCAAATCTTTTAATTACAACTGAGACTCAAACTTGAGTCTGTTACACAATGAAACAGTCCATTTAATAACATATCAACCCCTTTAACTGACACTTAAAAGTGATTAGCATCTAATTTCTCCGTACATTATTCCCCCAAATAAAGGAAATGATCACTAACCAAAGCAGTTCTTGATTGTTAAACAAATTCTCCCTGTCAGCTCTTTAGGAAATGTGTAGAGATCAGTATAGAGAATATACATACTGATGTTGGGGTGTTGAGGGTTTTAAATTTTTTTTCCATAACTTGTAGACTCTTGATTCAAAATGAAAATGGCAATAAAGTATAAATTTACCCTGTGAATTACCCCTGACCCTTCACTGCAAAATGACACATTCTGCTGAAGAAAAATATCATTAACACAGCTACAGATGAAGTCAAGCTCAGCATTACATTACTTCAAGGGGAGGGGAAACAATTGGAATTAAATAAAAAAAGTGAGAAAATTTAACAGGCAAGAATTGTAACTTGTTTTTTTAACTTTTTTTTACTCTGGGGAAAAGGAAGGGCTGCTCATGGTTTATTGTACAGTACCAGCTTCTGGTATGGCATTTAAAAAGCTCACTTCAACACTTTACATGTACTTTGTTTCACATGGTTGACTCAATATGTGGTAAGCATGTTTTGAAAAGCAAAATTTAAATGGACATTTTGTGGAGTCCAAGATTCAATTTTTAGGTGGTAATAATTGCAGGCTCTCCAGCCTCGCCATACTCTCAACATTCCTAATTAATTCTTTCAGTTCCACTGACCAACTGCCTGGCACTTGTTAACCTTTTTCTAATTATCCTCTTTTATAATTTATCAATACATATACCCTGACTACTCATGTTTTTATGAACTTGAAACATTATAAAAATAATATGGGAAAATGTGTTCTAATAATTTAAGAAAGATGGTAAGTTTGAAGCTTCATAAAGAAATGAAAAAAGATGTTTTTTGTCTTGTCATGAGTACCTTTGTCCCAATCTTGTGACAAGATAAAAAACATTTTTTTCCAATAATGTGTTCTATCTAACAAATAAAACAAGGCTTGCAACAGCATGATTTAATCCTTTAACCCTTTGACTCCTATATCTGAAATTAATTGTGTAACTTATTATCCAGTAACTCATCAAAATTAAAACAAACTCACTAAGCTAACAAGAATGCACAAACTCTTCACACAGAAGTTCCTATCTTGATCTTACACGAATTCTTATGACTTGTGACTAATGTAAGTAAATGTGTAGAGGGGAGAATGAATGATCAGATTTTGGGAGTTGAAAGGTTAACAGCTACATTTTGAAAAAATCAAAATGGATGGATCACACATTTTGTACTAATAGTTTATAAGTTCCATTGAGTTTGTCTAGAAATGTTCTTTGATGGTCAACTGTGTGGTGGATACTGGTGAAGCCATCATGATACAACCAGCCTCACACTTTATACATAAGATATCAGATCTCCTTTTAGTTTTGTTGAGTCCAGTCCAGAGGGACCCACTGCTCTTCCTGTTCAAGATTTTCAAATGTGTCTACAATGCTGACAGAGGCTTCTTCAATGTCCTTGTTTTCTACTGTCAGGTAAAAGAATCTTCCATAGGTCTCCTCCAGCATTCTAGAATTACTGATTATTTCTTGTAACTCCTCCTCCTGCATATCAATGAAAAGGTTATCCAGGCTGGAATCACTTATTTACAAAGGACAATTCACAGGTTTAGATTTACATCATGATCTTAATTTGCAACCTGATTGGTTTAATTTTTCCATTCTGATATTTTTCAATTTTACTGAATATGATAAAGGTGGAAGGATTTATTTTCCCTAAGTGTCAAAAAGAAAAAAAGAAAACAGCAAAAAAGGAAAAGAAAAAAAAAGTCCCCATGAAGAAATGAACTCCAGACCTTTGCACTCTGCACTCAAATGTTCTATTACTGAGCCACAGAGACTCTAGTGTATCAGTGGTGTGTTGGTTAGTGTGACGGCTGATGTGTTGGCTGACATGTTGGTAGGATAGGATTCTTTACATTTACTGACTCTACAGTGGGCTAGGCAGCTATTGCTATGTTCATATGACAAGCATAGTTTTGGACTAATTATAAATCATAATATTTAGGGCCAGAATGAGAGATAAGGGAGGGGGGGGGAGCACCATACTCAAAACAATTACCTATGAACTCAAGCTAATGTCAACTTTCAAGCCAGACTGGGGGTTATCCCAGTTTACATAGCATGAAGTGGAAATTGTTAGTTCCCCCCTAGTGGGAAGCCAGTCCAATTCTACTGTTACTTCAGGTAGAGTTACAAATGGGTGTGACATCCACTATGGGACTAGTCCATGCAATAACAAGGGGTAATATGTAGCTATAGGAGGTAGCATCTCATCCAATGGGATTGGGAATATTTCCAGTCTTGTCATGCTATAGAAACAAAGATAAGCCAAGGTTGGTTGGACTGTTGGCTCCAGTACAGACTTTCCCTTGCTTTACTATACTTCACATTACAATAAGAAAGAGGGACTATTTCTAGTCTGCCTGTTTGTCAATAAGACTTACGCTGAATGTCCTGATGGAGGACTTATCTGAAGCCTTCTTTTTTTTCGTCTGTACTTTCAGTCTTGATGTGCGGGGTTCCTTCAGAGGAGGAAGCTTCACAAAGACACAGTACGGCTTGAACTCCATTGTTCATAATAGCAACATCACCTACAAGCCAGATTTGGTGATTTAATATGAGGCCATACTCCAGTAACTTCAACTTTCGATGTTAATTTCACTTTTGTATTAAATTAAATAATTGTACGGTCAATCTAGAATAAAAATTCCCACAAACGGGACCCAGACCCACCTTCAAGTTGAGGATTTACACCAGTCAGTTGAAAGCAAAGGTGCTGCTCAAGGTTGAGAGCAACTTTAATTGCGACTCACCTCAGGTTGTACCTTAAGGACACAGGTCTTCCTGAATTTCAGAGCTCTGGTTATAGAGTCCTTTGAGGTACCATACAGACAACCTTTGTATTCTCCAAATTCTATGAATTTCCTCTTCTGGATAAAATTCTCCATAGTTTGTCTTGATACAAAAAATAATCCTTGCCATCTGTTTCATAACTCTTCATATGTCTGGATGTATCTGGAGAATAAATTTTGTTTAAAGTTATTCATTCAATAGAAAAGTACCAGACTGATCAGCATGTGGGTGCTTGTTAGAAGGAACACACAAAAAATTAAATTATGCTGCATAGTGAATGTAAAATTTTAAAAAGGTCCTTTCCTTGTGCAGTAATTAGAAGATGATGATTAATTACCAAACTGATATCAAAATACTTCATAAAATGTGAGCCAATCAAATGGGCTATATTCAATATGTTTGAAAGTGAGCCAGGAAAAATGGGTTTAACCCTTTAATCCATAAGAGAGACTAGCATCTAATTTCTCCTTACAATATCACCCCTGAATCCCACAATAAGGTCATGAGAATAAAGAAAATTATCAGCAGCTAAAGAAGTTGTTGATTGTTACACAAATTCTCCTCATCAGCACCTTTGGGGAATGTATAGAAAACAGTATGGAGAATACCTTTACTGATGGTAGGGTTTAAAGGGTTAATACATGAAGAGGTGGCTTACTGATAAACTACCAACTGAAGATAAATAATGATCATAACGAAAAAAGCAAACAATCATACACTACAATTTTCCTGACTGTATGGTTTGATTTTAATGTCCCCCTTTACCTAGCCTTTGTGTAGCCATACCCCCCCCCCTCCTCCCCCACCTGGGTGAAATGGGGACGGGTATGGCAACATGTAGGCTACCCTTTACTTTTTCTCTATGAGTGTTCGTACTGATTAAAGCATATGCTGTTGTTACTTTTTTGGAGCATTGAGCTTTTGTAAAAAAAGGTTGGGGCCAACACGGACAGTGAAGTTCCCTATAGGTTGCTCTAGTGAAACCAAATTTTGCTAAATAGGCCCAGTTGTACAAAGGGTGGTTAATACTACCCCAACAGATAGATGGCTATACAGCAGATAAGTGATGGCAAAACGTACTGTACTATCCGTCAGATAACGATTTATCCAGTGGATAGTGTTATCCAACCTTTGAACAACTGGGGCCATACTAACATATAATTAATAATAAAAGTGAATTCAATTTCAATTTGTAATCTTACGAGGAACTGTTGTTATTAATTTATCAGGACTGCTTGACAGTAGCATCTTCTTTCACTCATTCCTTCCCACACCTGGTGCTCCTGAAAATAATTTTGAAGTTTATTATTAAACTCTGTCTGTAAAAATTCCCTCAGGTAAAGTAACCATTTGCATGACTAACAGTATCTCACTTCACAAAGTTTTAGAGATTGAGATAAACTTGAAATTATCTGGCTTAATTGCAATGTACAATTTGGTCACTAGATCTCCAAGTTCTGACACACTTTTCACCTTTTTTCCCCAATTATAATCCTTAAAAAACAATTTTCTTCTGGTCTAAGGCATAAATCTTTTTTAGGACATCCTTTCACTAAGCAAAAACTGTCATTCCCTTGAGGAAAATTGGTAACTATATCTACCCACTGATCAGTAAAAGCAGACGCTTTTTCTCCGGTCTTTGCAAATATTTTGCAACTAGCTCATAAACTGGCCAACCAAGAATTGGTATATCTGCAGTTTAAATAAATCAACTCATGTGTTCAATGAATTATAATAACATAGAAAGTCTTTCAAAACATCAGAACATTAATGCTATAAAAAAATAGTACTTCAAAATTAACAAATGAATGTAAATAAACAACACACACTGTGAAACATGATTGAATTCACAAATTTGTTGCTTGAGGGTCAACAAAGAGTAGATACTCTCATACAATTTTAAGAGCTGTAAACCAAACTGTCAACACTAAAAGAAATTCTGGGATATCCATTATTCTTTCGATTTGCATGTCATAATGCTAATAATATATTAATTATATTAAATACATTAGACCTAAATTATTATCTGTTTACAAAGAGAGACCAACCTTTCAAGAAATCGCAAAGCACTTTGTTAGAGTCTGTTTTTTTTCTCATTTCCTTGAATGGTGAAGTGAGTCTTCCTGTAAGGAACATATTGCTCAGGATTCATAACAAGTTAAACCTTGAGAGTGAATAGCATCTAATTTCTCATAACTGTATTACTGCTAAATTAGACTTTAAGTTCACATATGATTGCAAATTAAAAATAAAATTCTTAATTGTTTAACACCATAGTTCCTCAGATAAGGGCGTGAGCACTTATTTGAAATTTCGTTTCTTACTTATTAAGGGTGGCTCAAAATTGGGTAAGAGGGAAGAACAGTTCCGGAAAGATACTGTCGGCCGTCTGTTGGCCGTCTGTCAACAGTCGGTCGACAGTTGGCCGATAGTCGGCCGACTGTTAGCCAATTATCGGCCGACAGTTTTCGTTATGTTTCAGGCCAAAGTTTTGGCCGACTGTCGGCTAACAGTCGGCCGACAATCAGCGACCTGTTGGCAATCTGTCGGTGGGTCGTAAACTGAAATAATCGTAAACATTTACCTATCTATTGCTTCTAAAACTACATAAAAAGGGGAAAAGTCATTTCAAAAAGATATCTTGCACTGTACTCTCAATAGCTACTGCGACCTTTGCCCACTTTTTTACGTTGGCTAGCGAAACTTTCCCAAATTGGTTCGATTTCATTTATCCGCCGTATTGAAAAGTTTTTCTAGTTCCCAGTCCCCTAAACACACTGCCTCCGAAACCTTTTTAGAAAGTCTTTATTTGGTTAGAACTATTTGACCTGGTGGTTCGTTCACTTGCAAAATGTAGAAAAGGAGCCGTTTTGTGTACAAACAAGGATATAAAAAATAAGTATTTTGGTACTTACGGTCGGGAGATGGGTCAAACAAGCTTATTTTACCGTTTAAACAGAGTCAAGTAGGTAGGGACGAACGATGCGATCGACATGTTTCTATTTACTGTTTTCGACTGGAAAAGTTTGACTCTGTTTTCGGTCAATTTTTGGTCTACTTAACACTGTCGGCTGACTGTCGGTAATGTGTTGGTAATGTGTCGGTAACCTGTCGGCCGACAGTTGACTGACAGGTTACCGACAGCCGAAAATGGGAACCATTGTTCACAATTACCAAAGAATGGAATCATTTTCACCTGTATTTTAACTGAATTCCTCTTAAACTGTTGAGTAATTTTGCTGAAGTGAAGAAAATTTGAGTAAGGCATGTTGATAGGCTTAGAGCAATCACTGTGTAGGGAAAAAGGGAAGCTTTGAGAACTTACAGCGACACAGATTAAATATTTGAATACGTTTGTGGCCTGATTGTGCTCTATTTTTGGAAGGGGTTTGGGCTGGGTGGTGGAGGAAAGTCATGGAAAGGATCACAGAAAATCCTATGTAGTTGCATGTCTATCTCTGAGGGGGAGAGGGGACACCCCAAGGAAACAATAATATTTCAATCTGCAAATGACTGCCTATCTTCTTATGGTTGTGATTATTGACTTGTGAAGTAAAAGACAGCTTTGGATGAAAGTAAGGTAAGAACTAAGCGCTGAACCTCCCCCCCCTCCCCCTCTACATACAGCGTCAGCAGCAGTGTCTTCAAATGCTAGTTGTTGGAGGTCTATTGCTGCCTTTAAGATGTACCTCTTATTGCCCATAACACAGCCATCTATTACACTATCAGCAGCCGCGTATGGAAAAAGTTATTGAAACCAACCCCAGTACATAGTTAGAATTTGTCTTGCTCAGGCCTTGAGACACCAGTTTTAGGGCTTGTCTCCTGAGGATGATTTGTGATACTAACACAAACATGGAGATCTTCTGAGTGGAATAATTTGTTAAGCAAAGGGCTAAATTTTTTGTCACAGATCAATATTGGGATGAAAAAGGACCAATTTTCTTTTACACTGGCAATGAAGGACCAATAACTAGTTTTTGGGAAAACTCAGGCTTTGTTTTTGAAGTAGCTCCAAAGTTCAATGCTTTGGTTATTTTTGGTGAACATGTGAGTACACAATGATGCTTTGTGTGAATGTTAAATATTTGATGCTCTGATTTCCAGTAATCAAAAGTGCAGTTTACCTGAATGTAATTTGTTGTGCTTTATTGTCTTCATCCTTTTTTAGAGATACTTTGGAGATTCCCTTCCATTTGGTTCATCCTCATTTGATCATGATAAAGTTGGTTACTTATCAGTGGAGCAAGCCCTTGCAGACTATGCCTTCCTATTGACTGATCTTAAGATTCAGTTTAAGGCCGCAATGAGTAAGGTTGTTGCTTTTGGCAGCAGGTACATTATAACATAACAAAAAAGTGAACTGTTGTTGTGGTCACCTGCACAAAAACTACTGCATTTGTAATGATGTAATTCATTTTCCATGTGACTCAGCAAGGTCTCACAAAGTAAAGTGCTATGATGACATATTCTGTATCATTAATCTGTCCTTGATCGGTTTTCAGTTATGGTGGAATACTAAGTGCTTACATGAGGTTCAAATATCCAAATGTGATCAATGTTGCCTAATGGCAGCCAGTGCTCCAATTGACCACTTTCCAAGGTAGTGAAAGAGACTCATTCTTTGCTGCAGTGACAGAGGTGATGGCTGTTTTTATTAACTGCATTAGAGCAGTAAATTGTTGAATATTCACATTTTTTTATAGTTATTTAGTTGTGCTACAACATGTTTAGCTTACTGATCAGTGATTCTCATCAGGGAAACAATTAATTAATTAATTTACCAATCAAAATAGATGTTCATTTGGTAAAAGATTCGAGAGTCTGATAATTTTTCTCCTTCTTGAGAATTGTAGTGGTTAAATGAGGAGAATGATGATATTATTTGTTATTTGAGTTAATTCTAGACAGATAGTACTTACACTTATTTGGTGATATTTAACAATATCATTATGGTAATTTCTATCGATGTTCATGAAAGATAAAACTATCAACAGTGACTCCCAAACTATTTTGTTTTCATGTTCCAGTTTATTCAGTTAATTTAATTAATTTCTTTATAATTTTGTGTTTTAATTCCAAGGACTTTTTAAATGCTGATGCGAATTGTCCAGGTTACGTTATTACAGCTTTTGGAATGATTTGAGATGCTGAAAAATATAGGATCAAAAGGTAAATTAAATATATGGGGTTGCTGAACACTGAAACCCTAAAAGGAGATTGTAATTATTTTCTCCTTACAGTGTCAATACAAAAGTCAGAAGACAGTTGAAATAAAGTTTGTCAGTTGAAATGAAGTTTGTCAGCACCTTAGAAAATATATAAAGAACAGTATAGAGAATATGCAAACTGATATTAGGGTTTAAAAGGTTACAAGTGTCAAGTATCATAATACCAAATTCCATTAAATTTGGAAGAAAATCTGAAGACACCAGTCAAATCATGAAAATGAAGGAGTTTACATCATTCTTCTTCTGTTTTCAGGCTGGAAATTTGGAATGTTAGTATTAGCAAAAGGACTGGGGAACTCAAGGAAACTTCCCTAATAAGGGATGAGGGTGTGTCACTATGGCTTTAGGCAATTACTTGCATTACTGTACCTTCCCTATATTACAAATATTAATAATTTCATTAAGTGGGTAAATCTGTCTCTATCAAGAAATCTGTTCAAGTAAAATGTCAAAATCAAAACCAAAGTACTCCTAACTATCATAGTTATGGATGGATTATTAACAAAGTTAACCATAACAAGGTGATAAATAACTCTTACTTTAAGGCAATTACATGCATGGATCTTTTAACTGAGTGGCTAAGTTGAGTTTGCTATGAGTTACCATTGTATGATTGTGGCCATTAAGTCACTGTGTGTGAAACTGACCTGGAGTTTAATTTTGACATGCATTTATTTCAGTTGCATTATTTTATTTTCTAACTATGTTATTTCATATAGGACTTGCTGAAATCTCAAGGATATTTAAGCTCTGAAAACAACTGAAGTCAACAGATCAGGTAAGAATTATCTAATCACCATCACTCATACACTACCATGACAGTGAAGTGAACACAGTTAAATATTATGTGGAGCAGCATTTAGTGACTCCATCATAACTAACTGTAGCTTGTTTACCAGATCACTTGCTATCTCCCTTCCTGTCACTTACTTCCTCCCTCTCTGCAGAGGGACAGCAGCAATTATTGGTATCAGACATATAGTGATGTGGTCCATGTTTGAGTTATTTTTCTCCTTTTTACCGACAACTGTTTTGTATGATAAAACAGTCTAGAGGACGTCTAAATGGGGTATCTTATTGCTGGAGTGGTTTTGGTTTTGTAAAATGGATGAACGTAAGGGATTTTGAAGATTATTCAACCTGGGTTTCACTGGTTTTCCAAAGTGAAGGTCTAGGTGGTGATTTGCATGCTGATTGTGATCTATTATATTGGTTGCCCTGGAATTCAAACAATGGTTTCCTTGGACACCTCATTGTGTCACTGGGCTCCTCAAACACACATCATGGTTTGCTAAAGATCAAGTTAAGGTGACACAAAAGACGGTGTGCTTATTATGGGAACTCGAATGCCACTTTCCATCTTATTCTAGATGTAGGAGTATATTGGACTTGGTCATTACAAGGAATGAGACTGAGGGTGCTTTAGGCCTAAAGAATGTCACAGTCACGGAATAGTTTATCTCTGATCACAAGGCTGTTTGCTTTAATCTGACTGGACTTATGGAAACCAGTAAATAAGAGGAGGACTGTTGTCTCTCGTAAATAAAAGGGATTTTATTTGATGCTTTCAATGAGATTATTATATCGTCTGGTTTGTCAGATGGATGTGTCCTGCAATGTATTGAGTCATTGGCTAAGGAGTATGATGAGGTGTTGTGCAAGGCTTTGGATTAGCTGGCACCAAAACAAACTCGCACTATTGTCATTCGACCAAATGCCCCTTGGTATAATGAGGAGATCGCCACCCAGAAGAAGAAGAGGCAAAGTCTCAAACATAAATGGCGTTTGACTGGTCTCGAAATTGATAGGGTGAATTATTTGGAACAGTGCAATGTTGTAAATGCAATGCTTTATAAGGTGAAAGAACAGCATTATTCAACTGTTATTCAGGACAATGCCCATGATAGCAAGTTACTTTTTCGCACTGTTGATAAATTACTACAAAGGAATACAGACAAAAGATATCCATCTGCAAATAGTGACCAAAAACTCACGAATGCCTTTGCTGATTTCTTTAGTGCCAAGATTGTGCAAATTTGCGATGAGTTGCAGGTTAGGAAAGAGCCGCTGGGGGAGCTCACTATGGAGGATTTTGAGTGTACATCATGCTTTAGTGAGTTTGCAATGGCAGCAAATGAAAATGTCTTAGGATTGATTAGGGCTTCAATCAAGGCATGCGCACTGGATCCACTTCCAGTGAGTATCATGTGGAAATGCTATTCTAGTCTTGTTCCTGTATTTAGAAGAGCTATCAATTTGTCATTATCATCTGGAGTGCTGCCCAAGGAACTTAAGATCGTGCTGCTATTACCTCTTCTCAAGAAGGTAAATGCAGATTTTGAGCAGTTTAGTAACTTTTGCCCTGTGTCAAATTTAAAGTTTTTATCTAGAAATTGATAGAAAAAGCAGTGTTTGTGCAATTGAATAACTATCTTGGCAAAAATGATCTACATGAGCCTCTCCAATCAGCATACAAGATCTTTCACAGCACAGAGACTGCGCTTATCACCATCACAAATGACACTATGCTACTATTGGACAAAGGTGAGGATGTTTTCCTTGTTTTATTAGATTTGTCAGCAGCATTCAATACTGTCAACCATACTTTGTGGCTGGCAGGACTGCAGAAATCATTTGGCATCAGAGGAACTGTTCTGCAATGGTTCAATTCCTATCTTTCTGATAGAACTCAGTTTGTTAACATCAATGAGGTGAATTCTGCAATATGTGATCTTCTCATGGGAGTTCCCCAAGGTTCAGTTCTGGGACCTGTACTCTACCTTCTGTATACTGCGACACTTGCTAAAGTGATAAGATCTTATGGCTTGGATTATCATCTATACGCTGATGATACTCAGTTATACTTTGCATTCAAATTGGTGGATGTGGACACTACTAAATTGAGGATCGAGAACTGCATTTCTGCTATTTGTCGCTGGATGGACCTCAACAAATTGAAGCTAAACCATGACAAGATGGAGGTTATGCCCATCCACTCAAAGTATCATCCCTCTCCATCCTTTCAGTCCTTATGTGTTGGTGATGAGAGCATGGCTGCCTCTCAGTTGGCTAGGAGTCTTGGCATCATCTTTGATGAGCACATGTCTTTTCATCCACATGTGTCTAGCATCTGTAGATCATCATTTTATCATCTCAGGAACCCATCTAGAATTAGGAAGTATCTCACTAAAGAATCAGCAGCAGTTGCTGTTCACGCATTTGTCACATCAAAACTGGACTATTGTAATGCATTATTACATGGCTTGCCTAAGTATCAGTTACAAAGATTGCAATATGCACAAAACATGGCAGCTAGAGTTGTGTGTCAAATGAGTAAGTTGCATATCACACCTGTTTTTCAGGAGCTTCACAGGCTACCAATCCAATACCATATTATTTTCAAGATTCTGCTTCTAGTGTATAAATCACTGAATGGGGCATCGCCTAGCTATTAAGCTCAGAAACTACATCATCGTTCTCCTACTAGATCATCTAGGTCTGTTAGTAATGAAATTTTAATGCAACCTAGATCGTATACTAAGACCTACAGAGACAGAGCATACACTGTTTATACGCCAAGAGAATGGAACTTAATATCCTATGAAATTCAAAAGTCTAACACCATCTCAATTTTCAAAAGAGCACTTTAAGACCTTCTTGTTTAGTAAATATATTATTAACAGACCATTATTTTTATAGATTTATATATATTGCTTTAGATTTAATTTTCTTTTTTAATCATTGTGAATTTTAGCTATGTTTAAGTATCATATAATAAGATATGGCTGGCTTTAGTTTTGTTTTTCTTTTTTAATTAGTATGAATTTTAGCTATGTTTAAGTATCATATAGTAGGATATAGTTGTAAATTTGTAAATTTTTATTAATAATGTATGATTTTGTATGATTGTAAAGCGCCTTGAGCAGAGGATACAAGCACTTTATTATTATTATTCCTGTTTCCTCGTCCTCCCACCCACCCTCTCTTCCAGCCACCCTCCCTTCCGCCCTCCCTCCCTTCCACCCACCCTCCCACCCTCCCTCCCTTTCACCTACCCTCCCACCCTCCCTCCCTTCCACCCACTCTCCCATCCTTCCTCCCTTCCACCCACCCTCCCATCCTCCCTCCCTTCTACCCACCCGCCCATTCTTCCTTCCTCCCTTCCATCCTCCCATCCACCCACCCTTTGACCCTTCCTCCCTTCCACCTACCCTCCCTTCCAAGAAACAGAGGATGCAGGGCCATTTTCTGGATTTGTCATTGCGGAATTCCTGTTATTATAGTGTTACTAAATTCCTTTTGCAACTGTATTTCTATGTTTTCTTTCCTATGCCCTTTGTTGATCCTCACATCCATCCATTGTTTCAATTGGTCCGATCATTTGGTGTTTTTTTTTAATTTTCATTTTAGATCCCTCACATGTTACATTGGATCCACAACCTTAGCCATGTGTGATTATCCTTACCCAACAGACTTCCTGGCCCCACTTCCTGGGCATCTTGTGAACTTGGCATGTATAATGATGGCAAGTGTATCATCCAAGGTTGAAGGTCTGGCTGAGGTCACAGCTTTAGTCTACAACAGCACTAATGGTATACAGACTTGTCTTGATCCAGATACAGAGTACATTGAATGTGCAGACCCCACTGGATGTGGCCTGGGTTTAGACAGCCCCACACAAGACCATCAGGTATTGGGTGGGGCTGCCCAGTCAAGTAACTAATATCTCTATAATAATATCTCTAACCATAGTCTCCATAGGATGTAGGAACAGTTCCTAGTTAAAGATTACTGTAACTACCACTTACTCCCTAGAAAAATTCAAGATTTGGGAAATGTGGTGGCTTAATTTTTATATGTGCTGGACTCCAGATCTAAAGGTCCCAGTTCAAACTCTGACTGACTGGACTGTGTTGTGCAAGACAAGTAACCTTCTCTGGCTGTTTCTTTCTGTCATTAAACATCAAAATAAGATTTATATTTTATCTTTTCAGGCTTGTACTGAGCTTTCTCTTCCAGCTGGTTCTAACAACAAAACAGACATGTTTCCAACTCTGCCGTGGACTCCAGAAATGATTGCAACATACTGCAAGAAAAAAAGGGGTGTGGTACCTCAACCTAACTGGGCACCCATACAGTTCTGTTTTTTGTTTCTTTAATTTATTTTCCAGATATATCTTCATGTTCTAATATTATCTGATCCAATGGTGACCTGGATCCATGGAGAACTGGAGGTGTAAGTTTATGGTATTTGAAGGGCTGTGGTTGCTTCCAACTGCTGTTGTTGGATTTAAAATATATTGATAATATTTTTGGTGTTAGAAGATGTCTCACCAACACTAGTGGTACTTCTGGTCAGAGGTGGAGCTCACCATCTTGGTCTGAGGTATGTTTTAACCTTTTCACTGACCAGATTGATCAATTTGTAATTGTCTTCACTTTGTTTTATAAAGTTAAAGAGGCAGTTCCTGACAGTAAAGAAAATTGTCAGCTCTAGAGAGAAAACCAGCTTCTCTGCTTTAGCCAATCATGAAACGTGTGGTGATATTTTGGGAGAATTTTCTCTGAGATCTTGGAGCATACTAGGTGCAGAGCATACTAGGTGCAGAGCATACTAGCTGCCAAAGCTCTATTTGGGGATTTCCTTCATTTCCTTGATTTTAAGTTTTTTACTTCTATTTTTTGGTTACCTGAAAGATTGCTGGTAAGGATTAAAAAAGAACAAAACCTTTTTGTAAGTGGTTTTCTTATCATTGTCATTATTTCAGTTTTGTTAATTATTGATATAATTATGTTATACAGAGAATCCAATCCAATGGACCCTCCTACAGTGACACAAGCACTAGAACAAGAACTGGAACTGATTTGAAAATTCTTACATTAGAGCCAGATGATTTCTATGGACAACAATCACAATTTTCAAATTCAATTTCGCGAAGAAATTCACCTAGTCCCCAGTCATTGTTAGATACAGGTCTCACTATAACACCATATTATTTTATTCTGTCTTTGTAGGTCGCTCGTAAGCTACTCTGATGGCTGTTCGGGTCAGAACAGAAACAAGACGATAGTTGCCCTCTACGCCGAGCTACACCGCACGGGCGTTTACGAGGTACTTAACCACAAGTAACTCGTGAGGGGCCACACGTTCCTTCAAAATGACAGAGACTTTAGCCAGATCGAGAAGAGAAAGAAAAGCGCAGTGGTGTACTTACCAGAGGACTGGTGTAAAGTCGTCAGAGAGGCGAATACAGTGAAACCGTTCGTGTTACGCGAAATGAGGCAGCCTGACTTCAAAGACTGGAGGTCCTTCTTGGAATCCAGGTACATAGACAATTAATCAGATAGTAATCGACGTGCGTTTCTGGTATGAGGTCACCAGATATGCACCCCCGTTTTATTGCGTCAGTATGTATGTACAAGTTATAGAGCGTTTTAGAGTGGCCTACCGTAAAAAATCCCGGTAATAGCTTGTTTTTGCACCTAAGCCTTATAAAGATAAGGGGGGAGGGGGGGGGTGAAAGTTCAAGGGTGTGATATTCGTGGTGTGCTACAAGAAAATCATTACTTAATTCTCCGGATATTTCCACTAAAAGTTTTTGAATATATCATCTATTTCCTGGATTTAAAGTAAGCTAAATAAAAATAAGGCACGCAATGCTTTTTTTTAAAACCATGAAGCCGCAATGAACTTTGGAAACCTTGTAGAATAGGACTCATATGGATCTTTTTATATTTCATATCACTTAACCATTATTAATATTCTTGCTAGGTACCAACCGATAGCGAAGGACCGGGATGGGAAGCGCGTCCGAATCCTCGACGCGCATTGGTTAAACTTTGGTTGGGGAGAGGAGAAAGATCCTATCACTGGGCAAACCCAAATGGTCCACCATCCAGACGAAGTTTGGGTAAGGTATGGGTTTTCCACAGATGAACCCTGGAAAAAGGTAAACATCCGGCGCCGCAGACACCAAACAGATGCCAACCAAACACCCGGCCGCCTCTATCCTGCTCGTTTGAAGGTGGTCCCAGCCAAACTGGAAGACCTGCAACAAATAGCTGCCTTCGTCCCTGAGCCCCAGCGCCAGTTTTACTTAACCATGGAGGCCGCCGAACCAGAACCAAAGGATAAATGAACATCTTATTTTACTTGCATATAAATATTTCATTTAACAGTGTAAGAAAACTTACAAAAACTTTTAAAATTCTTTTCACGCTAAGAGAGAAGCGAATTTGAAAAATTATATGCATAAACGCTAAAAAAGGTACTCATGCAGCAGTCACGCTTGTAATCTGAGAAATAGCAGAGGAGAATTGCGTGAGTGACATAATACTCTTTGTTAAAAATAGCTCGCATGTCAACAAGTCACTGTTTCGCAGTATGAATCAGAATGGTGCTTTCTCCAAACCAAGCGCTTGAGGACGCTTGAATAACACGAAAACGGTGAGCAGAGTACTCTTAAACTGGCGAATAAAAATCATCCAGCGCGAGTTAATACGTGAGAAAAACGTTGTATGTCTGTTTTAGCACACTAATTAAATTAATAGGGCGATGTTTCACACGAAAGTGTACTAGCGATAAATAAATTTTATTCCTGCACAAATTTGATTAAGAATTTAGATATATGAAAAGTCACATATTTGCACTGCGGTGGAGAGATGAAATTAGAAGATCCTCGCAGCTAGGAACACTACTGAAACTAGTAGTTGTAAATAGGACCTGAAAAAAATTCAGGCCCGTACGGGATTTGAACCCTTGACCTCTGCGATACCGGTGCAGCGCTCTACCAATTGAGCTAACAAGCCAACTGGGAGCTGGACCAGCTGGACCAGCTGGAGGTCAAGGGTTCAAATCCCGTACGGGCCTGAATTTTTTTCAGGTCCTACACAACAGTTATGTTTGTTTAGCGCGCGCCCTTTCTTTGTTAGTTTTTTTTTTTTTTTTCAGTTAAGTGCGTGGACGCTTGTCGTGCGAGGATAATGAAACTTGATAAAACGCCGCTCAACACTATTAGTGCCGCCTAGACAAGTTTTATTTTTTCGAGCGTTACTCGCGCTCCTACGAATTATACTGGATTAAATCATTATCGTCAAAAAGGGCGTCAGTTCAAAACAGTTATGTTTGTTTAGCGCGCGCCCTTTCTTTGTTTAAATAAAACTGCGGCAGTCCTTCACGTTAGCGTTCGACAGGAGCGTTTTCGTATAAACTTTTGGCGATGTCAACGTATCTAACTCTCAAAATGGCTTTGCATTTTCCCGAGTTGAAAAAGAGAAGGAAAAAAAAGACATTTCTTAAAAAACCTTGCCGACCGTCTGACTGCGAGTCTAGTGCCTAACCGACTGTGCTACATGAACATTCAATAACAAAAGATAACTTTTATCGCTAAATAAAACTGCGGCAGTCCTTCACGTTAGCGTTCGACAGGAGCGTTTTCGTATAAACTTTTGGCTATGTCAACGTATCAAACGCTCAAAAATGGCTCACCTCTTCCCGAGTTGAAAAAGAGAAGGAAGAAAAAGGGTGAGCGAAAAAAAAGACATTTGTTAAAAATGAGCTGTACCAACCGTCCGACTGTGAGTCCAATGGCTAACCATCTGTGCTACGAGAACATTCGATTACATTCAAATTTTATCGTTAAATAAACCGGCGGCACTCCGCGTAAGCGTTCGACAGGAGCGTTTTCGTATAAACTTTTGGCTATGTCAACGTATCTTTGGTTTTGTCTTCAATTCTGCCGTAGTGCGAGTTTGTTCAAGGATATTTTACGTTTGCTAAACGGTGTTTTAAACTCAAAACAAAAAACATGCTCTTTCTTTAAGCTGGTTATGAATATGCAAGTTCTCGGGGGCTGTATTGTTTTGATGAAACAAAAGGCTTCTTTTGTTTCGGCTTCATTCAATGAAAGCCGCTACGAAATTCAAGGTTTTTTGCATACGTTATTTCTCGAAAACGAAGCGCAAACCAGCGAAAAAAAAACCAAAACAGTGTATATCGAGTAAAACTAAGTCCACATGCCAAAATTCAACTACTTCTGAACACTTTCAAAAATGGCCGAAAAATCAAGGGGTCGTTCTTGCTCTGAGCCTTTCAATTGTCTTCCTATAATTTTTTGTATGCATCAATTCAATAACAATCAGACTTGTGTATTATTTAATTTTATTAATGATGGAAAATAGAAAAGACATTTTTAAGGAACAGTTTGTAGCTGAGTCACTTTCTGGGTGCATAACTTCAGAAAAAATTTTTCAGAGAGCATTAGAATGTACTTATTTGAAATTAGAATTTAAATAGGGAATTTTATATTAATTGATTTCATGCAATGGATGAAATTCAAAAGCCTTGTACTAGTGTAATGCTGTTGATGAGTGTTGAAGAACAATAAACTGTCTGAAAGGAATATCACCTTTTTCTGGTTTTGGTGTGCACATTTTTTCAACTAATCTTAGTTTAATTTCTTTCATCCCTTATTGCTCCTTTTTTGCTAGCAAATTTCTCTTCTCTCTATCCCATGGGGAATTCATATATGCTCTGGCCTTAAACTTCACGGGTTTAGAGGAGTGGGGGTGGGGGGGTCTACGTATCCGTGTGCACTGGGGAAAGCCCGGGTACGAAACTAAAGAAAAGAATTTCCCTTTCCCTCCCCCCTCTTCTCCCCGTTCTTAACCATGATAAAAATCCAAGCTCTTCTGAGAAGCCCTTTGATAGGCTCCTGGTCTTGAAAAAAAAATCGCCATGAAAAAAACTTTCATTAACGACAATCTGTACCTCCTATCGCTGAGTTCTTCTCTATGCTACTGACCCAACCCATGGAGAGGAGAGTATTTGTCTCCCGGCACCCCTTACAGTAATCTATCCTCACGTGGAACATGGCGGACCGTATCAAAATGTGTCTTAAAGGTGAGTTTGTATTTTTCTCTACTATTTCGGAAGTTCTGAGTGAATAAATGTTTTGTTGCCGGAAGAGTTAACTTGGTGATTTTACTCCACGTTTTCAGCGGCTGGAAGAGTCAGCGTGAACCCAGAGTTCTTGTTCATGTTTGATACTCATTGGTAAACGAATCAACCCCGAAAGTGCCTTCCGGTAGGTTAATTGGCGTGTCTTTTTTAGGGAAATGCATTGAAATATTAGTTTGAAACCAGTCTTATTCGTCAAAAATTCTAATGACTAATCCACTTGAAGATTAACTGATTGTCTTTTAATGGACATACTTACTAATATTTGATTGTAGTGTTCTTAAGATTTCCCCTCCCCGCTATTTGCCATGAACCACAACTGTTAGGGAACAATTCATCGAGCAGAACAAAATGGTTCACCAGTCACATTTAATTCAGCTCTTAACTCACAGGTCACATTCAAATAAAATTTTTTTTCATACGGACATGAAAAGATCTTAACGTCTTTAATCACAATTCACCGATAAAAGAATTCAAATCACGATTCGCGAGAAAAAAAAAAATCACCCATAGTAGTGAATATATAGACATGCACCTATAAGTTATCATTTAACCGCATTCCAGTATCGTATCCCTTTAACCCCCAGAGGACGTTGTCTGGCGTAGTTTCCAATCCACCGTCCCGCTGTCCACTGTTCCCGCTATTACCATGCTAGTAAATTAATTATGGAACCAAAATGATTTAGAACTACCCACACCCAAAGATATATTTTCCCTTCCCATCAATGCGGAAGTTTCTCTATGAATAAGCCAACTTTCTGGCGAGGGAGCGGTAGCGTCAATCATGGGTTGAGTTCAACATTTCTTCAGCTCGAGGGATTGGTTCACCGCGAAGTTATGGTCATCTCTTTTGGAGGCTTTAACAGAGGAAACCAGTGGCAATAATTAGCAACAGTTTGCAAGTGCTTCGGTGATCAAAGGTATGCGATTGAGGAATTACGATTTTTCTACGTTTCAGGACCTGTTCGATGCCACTTTCAAATATAAAGATCACCTCTTGATATCTTAAAATGAGTAGGTTGTCCTTTACGCTATTTATCGTGAGAAAACATGCAAATTTGAAATCTTGAATTCCGAGCGTTCGTGACGCCTTACCAACGTGCTGAGTTTGCAACGTTTGCGTTGGCTGGAAACTCGCGTAAGCTCTTCTTCTTTGTTAACTTAAGGTTACTTCTTCCGAAGAAGTCCGTTCAATTAGAGATATATCTAATTTTGATAAACTTTCTCAAGTGTGACTTGATGTGCGTGTTGTCGCTGGCTTTGCATTGTCTGTGCCTTCGTTGCATTGCATATCTTCACAACTGTGAGGTGTTATAAGCGAGATTGTACCAAAAAACGTGGTACCATAAATTGTGTACGTTTTTCGATCGACTTGTCCGAATAACTGATTGATTATATGTCGTATGCGGAACACTTAAATATTTCGTTCAGCCACGCATGAGAAGTGTGTTAGTAAGTACTAAAACAAGGAACAACCTAAAACCACCTAAAACCACCTAAAACCACCTACAACCATCTACAACCACCTCAGAAATTTCAACAACCACCTACAACCACCTCAAAAACATCTACAACCACTTGCAAACTATCTAAAACCATCTAAAACAAGGCATAAATGTCTAAAATAAGGCGAAACGACATGTCACGTACACGAAATACGAGAATCGAACGAAACCTCTACCTCCCCCTGAAATCTTACTCTCCCTGCTCCCATGTATAATCAACCATCTCACGAAATGAAATGTGATAGCATGCTAATTATTTTATATTCCTTCAGCAAGACTTAGGTCAGGAGTTTTTTACTGGGATACCTGTGGTAGCCCAGTCATAAAATGCCTTTGTTTTTTTGTCGTCTTTTTTTTTTTTTTTTTTTTTCCTTCGCCACAAAATGGAAAAATTGCGCAATAGTACCCAGTGGTCATTGGGCCCTCAACACCATGACAACTAACTGTGATCCAATGAGGTGTTCACATGCTGATCACGCGTGCTATCTTGATGATGATTGACGTTATCATGCACGGACAGGGCCGGGTCGCATGACGAACACGAGATTTTTGCCCATAAAACTCTTTTGTCAGTCGTTTTGTATTTCAATGTTTGAATTACGATCATCTGGAGCATTAAGGCGCAAACGCT